AGACGAATTTTAAACATTACGCAACTATCAGTGTCACACACATCACGGAATGAGGAGTGATGCAATCTAGTCACACGTTATTGGCATACCGGTATGATACCATTCAATAAGCATTTACATGATGTCTATTAATAGCATGATGTCACATATAAAGATACCGGCGGCCTCACACTATTAATAGTCATTATTAAAAAAAACTATTTGGATTATGGGAAGACAGTATGGCTGTAATAAACAAGAAGAATCATATAAAATGTTACGTGGTGATGTTTATTTGCCCCATCATGTTGAAAAACTGTGCAGAATGTTCAAACATTGGGACATTTTCTGTGTGAGGGGCAGGGCGAGCATTTTTAAATTATTATTACTACTTTAATTATTTTTTTCTATTGAAATTTTGCGCCACTAAGAATTTTGTGCCCGGTGCAATTGCCCCTGTGGCCCCCCTCACACTACGCTACTACCCAGAACACGAAACCGTTTACCATAAAGAGCAGCTTCATGTTTCTTTCACATTAAACCATGCCTTCCTTTGTCCGAGGTGGTTATAGGGCTATTATTTTCGAAGATATTTAGATTAATATAATTTAATCTACATAACATCGGCCTTCTGAGATACAAGGAATTGTTTGAGGATTAACTTCCCACTCCCAGGATGTCTCCTGTATTTTGGGCAAATTAACACACTGTCTCTTTATGGAAGTTGATATAACAATAATTGCAGGAATGGGCTGAGGAAATCATAGAAAATATCTGAGATCTGAAGAAGCCATGTATAGGCAAAACACGTCATCACAAATGCAGGATGTAATTGCCCCGCCTCCCGCTACGAACGTGGTTCAAAACGCCAGTGTTAACAGCAGCTGGCCTGAGAGATGTTAATAGCTCGCATTGGGAAGTAACTGCCAAAAGGAATTCTTGGTTTTTAATACTTTCTGCTTTCATTTTATCGTTATGGCAATAAATTCACTTACAAATATCGCCGCTCATCAATCATTTACCATCTGGAGATTTACACCATAGCTCCATATCAAGCTCGCTGTTGGAGTGCTTATAGTCTGAGCCGTCTCTACCTGTTCTTTGTTTATAAGAGATTTAATCTCTCCATATATCACTTGTATATATATTTAGCAATATTACACTATATGTTTTAATCCCCCTTTTATTCTTTCATGTCATTGGAATGGACATTATACCGTGAGTTTTTATTGTATATTTTTACACATTATTATATATTTATACACATTGCACAATTATTAAGAAGAACGTTATTGATTATATATTTTTTACACCGTGCACTTAAGGTTAATATAATTTTATTATATATTTATACACATTGCACAATTATTAAAAAGCACGTTATTGTTGGTATATTTTTTACACAGTGCACTTTTCTTCCGTGCCATTGCACTTTATAAGGTGCTGCTTAATATAGTTTTTTACAATTCATGTTTTTATGGTGTCTAATCAATTATAGCACCTTATTCACTCGTATTTTTGTTATTACTCATAGAAAATATAAGCAAAGTGAAACGTTTGGATTATTAATAATTAAAAATGAAATTTTAATCAGGACAGGTAAGTCAACTGGTATTCCCACCGTAAGTAGGTTGACATGGTATAAATTCTGTCTCTATATAAAACATGTCCACCTTGTTTTCTGAATGATCTATCCAAATCTATCTAGCATGATGAGATTGACTCTGCTCTGTTCGGTTCTCCAGACACCTTGTTTTAAGTAGCTGAATGAGGCGATAAGAGCATGGATGCCCACTTTGAGCGCACTCTGGCTGAACTTGGTAATGAGTTCAGCTTTGGCGAGGTGAGTCACCTCCATTTAATTTCTTGGACTCTGGGTTCTGTGACAGAATTTGGGAGTCTGTGAGGGTAACATTCAGTGCCTTCAAACTCTACACAATGCCCAATGTTAGATGGTATTTCAGTCCACAGTTGATAACTAAGAACTGGACAAGAAGGGAGCAAGAAGGGCTTGCAGAGACCAAAACTGACCTTAGTTAATGATACATTGTTACACCCACTGAACCATGACTACTTAGTGGTGAAAAATTTTGAAATTTTTCTAGAAAAGGACGCTATTTTCTTAATATCACTGGAGAATGATCTTCTTGGAGCCTGGACAGTGAATTGTTTTCTGCATTTAGTGGTGGCCCACCTCCCGTTCCTTATTGCCCTGAGATTTCTAGAGAAAGTGTCCTTTGATTATCAGTTGAGTTGATCATCCCATTACTCTATATTCCTGGACAGGGAACATTATCGCTCGTATGACAATAATGTAATCCCAAACTATCCCAAACATCACTCTTTTCCCACTAGTGACCAGTATTCTGTTTATATTTTAGAAACCAATCCGTAATGAACTGATACTATGGTACTCTGTTAAAGAGCAATTTTAACCATTGCTGCACTGTATTGATAACTGAAGAAGATGGATATCACAAGAAAATTAAGATTCTGTGTTGTTGAATCCATCCCTTGGCAGGGAAAAGGTTAACACTTTGAGTGCTAGTACAGCGTACGATGCATCATGCACTCGACATAGCACTTAAATAGTTAAATGGCATTCTGTAAATAAGCGTGGGGGGGGGGGATCAAATTCTGTTCATTTTCTCAAATGATCCCTTGGGCTCCAAGTAGGGGGGAGGGAATGCAAAAATGCTCTTAAACAACCCTGGTTTACACGTGTTTATCTTGCGCAACTGGTGATAGGGAAACAATTTCTCATCCCTAAAATGGACGTGTGTTGTGTTATCACAGAATCCGAGGATCTGGCGTTGCCAAATTGCTGCAGGCCCAGAGGGTGTGTATTAACGCTTTAGCTGCTGAGAAGGTAGCTAATCCAGAGCTCTACAGGTTTACCTGGAAATATATGGATTTCATCAACGCTGTAAAAAAGCAAGTCCGTCTTCATTTTACCAATTGAGAAAAAAGCAAGACACTCCCTCACCCCCCTTCTCCCCCCCCCCTTTCATGCTGTACTGTATGTTTTACCCCAACAGGTGGTCTGCAGTAGTCTGCGGTAATTGTGTTTATAGTTCATGTCTTGTCTAATGAAATCTCAAAGCCTTTCAGGAGCACGGAAAGTGACTGCAACATTCTCGGCTTCAGTTTGCAGGCTGTAATATATGACACCGCTGAGTATCATCTGACACTCCATGTTGTTATTAATTAATTAACTAAAACAAGAATTTTATGTTCCTGAGATTTTTTTTAGTAGCTCATTAACCCTTAATGACCTAGAATGTGCCATGAATGTAATGATATAAAAGGATTTACCTATCCCACAGTGTTTAAGGGGTTAAGGTGCTGTAGAAATAGTACTTCCCGCACAGGGTAATTTACTGGAGTGAGAATTCAAGGTGAATTTTTATTATTATTATTATTATTATTAGTGGTATTTATATATTGACGACATATTCCGCAGGGCTTTACAATATTAGGAAAGAGGGAAATTTAACCATAAATGAGACAATTACAAAATGTTACGGGAACAATAGGTAGAAAGTAAATTTCAAATTTAAGGTCAATGAAACTGAACTGGAAACGTGACTTTTTTTAGTTTGCCAATTTTTACGTTGATGTCAAATTCACTTTGAATTCTCACTTTAGTCAATAGCTATAATTGTGTTTGCGAAATGGGGCTGGAAAAATAGACCAGACGTCTTGTAAATGGTATGAAGCAGAAACTGATAAACCGGCTGCTCCCATCACTCCCAGACATACTCACCACACGGTATACCGCCAGTGTTTGCAGCTGGGGCAAGCTCAGTGCTCATCAGTCTAAACCAGATTGCTGTTCAGAGTAAATGTCCACCTCTCTGGGACTGCAACTACCATCATCGTTAGCCAGCCCTAGAAAACACAAATGGCAAGTAGAGTTTGTTCACGGGAGATAGGAGTTGCAGTCCAGCCGCAGCTGAGCTCTATAAATGAGGCAATATAAGACTTATTTTAAGTTAAATAATATCTAACACAGCACAGTGCTTATATATCCCATTGACACATCTACACTACCAGACACTAAATGGACTTATTAAGCTCTTCAACACACGGCTGGCATCACAAAGGTTAAAATCCTAGACCTGGCTGCGGGGGATAATTATTTATAGCCCCCTTCCCAGACTTAACAACTGAATATTATTTTTATTTCATTTTAGCTTTCTCTGCTGCCAGACAGGACTGCAACTCATTCATCTTGTATTATTTTATTTTATTTTATTAATAAATTACAGCCTCCCCCTCTGTGTATAAACCATGTTACCACATTCATACTGTTTGAATAAATTGATAATATACTATTCATCTGTCCCCGGAAACAAGTACAATAATATCAGAGCATTAACCCTCTCACTGCTGCAATGGGAGCTGCTGTCCATCTGACAATCTCTCGCTGCTCTCGCCCTTTCAATGACGGAAGGTAAAGCAGGAAATTAGTCTTTATGTTATTACCCATTTGTTTCCTAAATCTTTGTGTTTATTGACATAATAAGATTAGCCTGTGTTAACCTCTTCAGGGAGAGCATAATATGTGGCTAGTGTTTAGATTGTAAGCTCACTGGGCACGACCCTCTTCACCTACTGTTCCCGTATGCCAAACAGGTTTTGTTAGCATTGTTTGTCTTGTTTACCTATTGTACAGCGCTGCGGAATATGTTGGAGCTATATAAATATTTGTGAATGCACCGCAGCTATGAATATGTGAGCTGTTTGAGTTGTGGAATTCTAACTTCTGATACAATATTTACTCACGACGATCAATAAGAAGCAAACATGAGGCTGGGATATCTGGCGGGGCGCGGAATGGGTTAATCACTTAGTGACTTCTTTTCTTTCCTACACTTTTTCTCCTCCTTCTCCTGTATAAAAGGAGGAGAAAAGGGAGGGGTAAAGAGCAGCTAAAAGATCAAAAATAACCATGTCAGGGGGTGGGGGGAGCCCTGTATATATACTGCTCCTGGCGCTGCTAGCTGTGGTGCTTTTCTGGGAAGTGAAGGGAGCAGGCGAGGGAATTGGAGATACATAGCAGGGCTGGAGCACTCACCTCTGCCCCACTATCTGTCACTGGCTGCACTCTATACAGAAAGGGGGTCCCAAGAGTCCATCACAAGCCCAGCTTCTCCTCTCTGCTCACTTCCCTGGGGATGGAGGGACTTTTCATTGAGTTTTCTTGGAGCAGATTTTAAGAGCTCTCTTTAGGCGCAGTTATTCTGCATTTTACCTGCATTGCAGATTGGAATTAAGCAAGAGATTTGTTTGTTTTTGTTGTTTTTGTGCTGTGTTTAGGGTACTGCTTGTGAATGATTAAGCTACATGATAGTTTTTTTGTTGGAGTGAAGTTTGAATCGCTGATTTTAAAAATACTCTGCGCAGCTCGAACCCACTGTAATGAAAACTGCTTTGCATTTTAGTGCAAATAATTTATTAAATTATTGCATATAAGAACTGATATTTTTGCACCCACCAAAACCCATTTGTGGCTTTTTTTTCTTTTTTTACATCTTGGTAAAAATCTGTAAAAATTTCTATTCAGTGCATTTTTTATAGATTTTATATATTATATCATTTTAGATATCGTAGTAACCAACCTCTTAGCTGACCTGCAGTTCAATAAAGAGTATAGACACACATTGAATAATATTACCTGCATTTATTTTTGCTTAGTATTAGTCGAATTTGCAATGGTCTTCATTCAGGTCTTTGCTCTAATGCCGATGCTTTTTTACCCTGGTACCCTGGGAATGCCCGCAGGGGAGTTTACTGTACCAGAGATGACTCATTCTGACCATGGTAAAATCACGCTGAGGTTCCGAGCTCTTGGTAGGTTCTTAGAATTCCATCTAACTCCTGATGACACCTTCCTAGGACCACGGGTGCACATTACACATGTAGGACGGACCGGTGGCATTGAGGAAGGCACGGATGGGCTACGGGGCTGTTTTTATTCAAGCCAACAACCTTTTGCTGCATTTAGCTTGTGCAGAGGGGTACAGGGTGCTTTCCTATACGGGCAAGATAGCTATATCATCCAACCCACTGAGAAATCTGGTCACCACCTCGTATTTAAAGCTCAGAATGGGGAAACCCAACTGGGTAGCAAGACTGAAGCTGTGCTCACCCACGAGTTGGGAAACCAGGACAGAGGAACAAAGCAAAAATCAACAGGTGCACAAAGTCTGATGGCTAAGATCACCAGAGGGAGAAAAGGGAATCTAACTGATAACGACAGACAGGAGGAGAGTGGTGGACACATGAGTTCACCGAAAGAGAGAAAAGGTAACAAAAATTCCCTGAATTTGGAGAACAGGACAAAAGCGCAGACCGTCCATGATAAATCCAGCAATGGCACAATTCATCCATACCGTCAGCGCAGGTTCGTGGCTGTGGACCGCTTTGTGGAGATCTTGCTGGTGGCAGACACAACCATGGTGAAATTCTATGGTGAGGATTTAAAGGTAAGAATAATATCCATGTTTTCATTTCCAAAACTTCAGGGAGCCAAAATGTTTGAAACTGATAACGATTTGGACACAAACGAAGTGCCCAAAATTAATTGATACCTCCAGATGGAAACTGTAGCCCAAACATTTTGTCTCCCTGTGTGAGAGGTTTTAGTAATAATTTCAAGAATAATGTGTTTGGTACATGGACACAACAAAAGTCCAGGCACCTAAATTTGGTAAGTAACTGTTACTGTAACAGAGCTATAATTGGGGAGATCCTGAGATCTTCCTGCTTATCATGTGATACCAAAAATATACCATAAACACACTACAAAATATATCGTTTATGTCTAGGTGAAAATTAAATCTTAATTATATTGATATTAGTTCTTGCATTTGGGTCTTTAAATGTCCGGGCCGACTAAGACAAAGCTATAATATGCATTCAACCATATCAAAAAGTTACCAAAATCTAGAAATTTATAAAATGTTTTGGATCAAAAATGAAATAAGTTTATACTTTACGGATATTTTCACATGGTACCTTTTGACCAGGTGTGCAAGGTAGGGCACACTTTACACACAACCAAGGCACTGACAGGGTTAATGGATATGTATCCTATAGAAAGATCCTATTCCTGATATATTCTAGTTTTGCTTAAAGATTATTGAATGTCTGTTCAGAGGAAAGTTATGGCTAAAAAGTTGGGGAAAGTTACACCAAACAGCAATCTATAAATATAATGTGAATCAGCAACAAATTATTAACTGCAGTGAGCAGCAAGAGACGAGGTTCTGTGATAAAGGAACCAATATAATATTAATCGGTGGATATAGATCAAGGAAATGTCTTTAGTCACACAGTAGAGATCAGACTGGAAGCCCAGGCAGTCTGGCAGGTGTTCGGATACAGTATTTATATAGGAGCAGACAGGGGTCACCCTCTGCCCTGCAGGGTCAGTAACATAGAAAGGAAGGAGGTAATTGCCCCCCAGGTAGAATTTACCACCCTGGAAGATATCAGAAATGCTGTGTTTTGCATTTAGCATTAGTAATTTTTTAATAAAATAGTGAGTTATTAGATTTTTTTATAATGGTGCAAATATAAACATAAATTCGAACTGTTTTAGCGTGTTGGCTGCATTACATTACGATATAAATTGTGTTTTCATTTAACGTGGTGTTGTGTGCCGTGATATTTAGCATGTGCATTTTATTCACTATTTATAAAGGCGGTGCAGCTATGTACGGTATATACAGTAGATGTTTGGCATTCAAAGTGCAAACAATAAAATGAGTCTGAATTTTTATTGTTGGTGTTAGCCGTGGTCTTGCAGAATCTCAGGAACCAGACATATCCAATGGCAACTGGCAAGAAATAGCCCAAACCTGGTAATGAGGAATTATTGCCTCTGGCTTCTGTCCAGCTCCCTTCTTGCACTATATCAGGGGAGCTCTGCTCAGTGAAACCTAGCGCACATTCGCTGGCAGTAACGAGGTGTGATAATTGGTTATCTCACTGTCTAGACCATATTGTTACTATATATAGTTATCCCGTTAAATTTCACACAAAATAAATTGAGCTGATATTAATCCATATGATATCCAACATCTTTCCAGGAAACCCTTACCGAGCCACACTTTCCACTAATTATATACCCTCTCGTATTATACTGATTAGCTCTTCTGGCAGTCTGGCAATGAGCAGTGCATCTCCAGTTACCTGGGAGTACTCTGAAGTAACAATTGTTTGGAATTAAAAGTCTGTTTCAAAGTTAAAGCCAAGAAAGCTGAGCTCAGAAATACTCCTAGCCAGATAAGCTTCCAGTTTGGATACATTGATCTTAAATTAGAAATGTCCTGTGAGTACTGACACTTAGTATTTATCTCTGTTTCTCTGTGAGTACTCTGACACTTAGTATTTATCTCTGTTCCCTGTGAGTACTCTGACACCTAGTATTTATCTCTGTTTCTCTGTGAGTACTCTGACACTTAGTATTATCTCTGTTCCCTGTGAGTACTCTGACACCTAGTATTTATCTCTGTTCCCTGTGAGTACTCTGATACTTAGTATTTATCTCTGTTTCTCTGCAAGTACTCTGACACTTAGTATTATCTCTGTTCCCTGTGAGTACTCTGACACTTAGTATTTATCTCTGTTTCTCTGTGAGTACTCTGACACTTAGTATTATCTCTGTTCCCTGTGAGTACTCTGATACTTAGTATTTATCTCTGTTTCTCTGCAAGTACTCTGACACTTAGTATTATCTCTGTTCCCTGTGAGTACTCTGACACTTAGTATTTATCTCTGTTTCTCTGTGAGTACTCTGACACCTAGTATTATCTCTGTTCCCTGTGAGTACTCTGACACTTAGTATTTATCTCTGTTTCTCTGCAAGTACTCTGACACTTAGTATTTATCTCTGTTCCCTGTGAGTACTCTGACACTTAGTATTTATCTCTGTTTCTCTGTGAGTACTCTGACACTTAGTATTATCTCTGTTCCCTGTGAGTACTCTGACACCTAGTATTTATCTCTGTTCCCTGTGAGTACTCTGATACTTAGTATTTATCTCTGTTTCTCTAAAAGTACTCTGACACTTAGTATTATCTCTGTTCCCTGTGAGTACTCTGACACTTAGTATTTATCTCTGTTTCTCTGTGAGTACTCTGACACTTAGTATTATCTCTGTTCCCAGTGAGTACTCTGACACTTAGTATTTATCTCTGTTTCTCTGTAAGTACTCTGACACTTAATATTATCTCTGTTCCCTGTGAGTACTCTGACACTTAGTATTTATCTCTGTTTCTCTGTAAGTACTCTGACACTTAATATTATCTCTGTTCCCTGTGAGTACTCTGACACTTAGTATTTATATCGGTTCCCTGTGAGTACTCTGACATTTAGTATTTATCTCTGTTTCTCTGTGAGTACTCTGACACTTAGTATTTATCTCTGTTTCTCTGTGAGTACTCTGACACTTAGTATTTATCTCTGTTTCTCTGTGAGTACTCTGACATTTAGTATTTATCTCTGTTTTTCTGTGAGTACTCTGACACTTAGTATTTATCTCTGTTCCCTGTGAGTACTCTGACATTTAGTATTTATCTCTGTTTTTCTGTGAGTACTCTGACACTTAGTATTTATCTCTGTTCCCTGTGAGTACTCTGACACCTAGTATTTATCTCTGTTCCCTGTGAGTACTCTGACACTTAGTATTTATCTCTGTTTCTCTGTGAGTAGTCTGACAGTATTATCTCTGTTCCCTGTGAGTACTCTGACACTTAGTATTTATCTCTGTTTCTCTGCGAGTACTCTGACACTTATTATTATCTCTGTTCCCTGTGAGTACTCTGACACTTAGTATTTATCTCTGTTTCTCTGTAAGTACTCGGACACTTAATATTATCTCTGTTCCCAGTGAGTACTCTGACACTTAGTATTTATATCGGTTCCCTGTGAGTACTCTGACACTTAGTATTATCACTGTTCCATGTGAGTACTCTGACACTTAGTATTATCTCTGTTCCCAGTGAGTACTCTGACACTTAGTATTTATCTCGGTTCCCTGTGAGTACTCTGACACTTAGTATTATCTCTTTTCCCTGTGAGTACTCTGACACTTAGTATATATCTCTGTTCCCTGTGAGTACTCTGACACTTAGTATTTATCTCTGTTCCCTGTGAGTACTCTGACACTTAGTATTATCTCTGTTCCCTGTGAGTACTCTCACACTTAGTATTTATCTCTGTTTCTCTGTGAGTACTCTGACACTTAGTATTTATCTCTGTTCCCTGTGAGTACTCTGACACTTAGTATTTATCTCTGTTCCCTGTGAGTACTCTGACACTTCGTATTTATCTCTGTTCCCTGTGAGCACTCTGACACTTAGTATTTATCTCTGTTCCCTGTGAGCACTCTGAAACTTAGTATTTTGTAGGCTCCTAATTAGATCAGATTAGCTCCTGAACTGGTGCTTTTGGCTCCTAACCTTTGATAGTCACTGATGTGAGCTCTGATGAAAAACATCGGGAGACGGCCAAGTCCTGAGACCAGACATGTTTAATTCATAGCTCCCAGTTTCATTCATACACAGTGCGCATACATTACACAGCACATACAGGTACAATGTCACTAATGTGTGGCGATGTGTGCTGGCAGTTTACGAATAAACAGGAATCTGAGTCATATCTTCATACGATTACAGTATCAGAAACGCACATTGGACAGGACACTTGTGTACGGTGGAGAAATTCAGTTATGCCAAATCAATTCATTTGAAAAAAAAATTTTATGTGTGTCGGGAATTGTCGGTGTGGCGATTCAGTTAAGATACATTTTGTCCATGATTGACAAAATGGTGAAGTAAAAAAATAAATAAAAATAAATCTATATTTGTATATTAGATTAAATGGCACATTTGCATGCATTGTCAGTTCAATTTGTTTTGTGATTCGTCCATATAGCGGTTCACGATTTGGATAGTTTGGACAAATCACTATATGTGTGAAGATGGCTGAATGTCTATTGGGCAAAGCCAATCAGCTGGCACTACAAATGGGTCTACTTGTGCTGTTAGCATGAATGTTTGTGCACTTTGCCAACTCCATATTCAGTCTTTTCAGGTCTTCGATGGTTCACCATTAACAAAAAAGGGACACTCCAGACCTCTAAAGTACTTTAACTTGCTAAAGTGCTTTATGTGTAAAGAGTATGTCCTCTGTTTCATTTTACAGAAAGTGTAGATTTCGTTAGAAAAGGACACTTATAGAAATTAACCCTGTTACACCCTCCTGACTGTCAATCAGAAAACTGCTCCTGTTACTTCCTGGTTAGGTTAGCTCAGTGGAGATAAACTCAAGAGGCAGCAATTGCCCAGAGCTACATTGGGAAGTCTGTGATTGGACAGCCACAGAAAGTATGGGCAGGGTTAGAAGGGGAGGGCTTGTAAAGGCAAAGACTAGTTGTTTTTAGGTGTGTATATGTATCTTTTCATTGGAGATATCTACTAAACAGTGATTTATTTATATTTGGACAGTGGAGTGTCCCTTTAATGACTGTTAACACAATTCATTCTGCATCCCAGTTCAACTCTCTCATTGGTCTTTGTACCAATCTCATAATATCAGGGTAAATTCTCAGGGTCATGGGGTGAATAGACCGTATTGTGCCCATCTCTTATTGGCTTTCTCCCTGTGTTTAACAAACAGTTTAGTATTCCATTTCCTGCAGAGTGTAAGTCTTAGTAAGTGGTAATGTGCATAGAAGGGTACATAAGAGTATATAGAAGTTGTGATACATAAAACATATTTTCCACTTGCCGTGGAGTGGGTTATATTGCTTTCCTGTTTATGAAGCAGTAACAGTTAATTCAGAAAGTTATATGGATTGCAATGAAGGGTTGATATTTCTGGAAATCTTTGAGTATTTAGACTGGTCCAAGATCTGTGGGAGCAAACGTGGATTATTATGTCCTCATTTCCTCGTAACTGAAAATAATTCTTACCTATATGAATGTGCTAAAATACGTTCTTTCTCCTTTAAATTAGTGTGGAGGCAACACTCACAAAGCCCAGCCGACATGTTCTAATGATGTTGGTAATTGTAGATGGGAGAAGATAAGACATTGATGGTTGTCCATCCCACAGATCACAATCTCTACATAAATAGATGCGTTTACAGCTTCATTTGTGTTATTTGTACAGGACCCAAAATTGTCTAAATTCATCGTAATAAATAAATCCATTCCAAAATGAGAAGCAGAGGGAGGCAGTTAGGGGTTTCAGTTTTATGATCGCGTATCTGCTGTCTGCCTGAAAATCTCCAACATATTGCAAAGTAATGACCGGCTGGAATTCTTGGCAGCAATTTGCACAATCCAGAAATTCAGAATAAATCGCAGGGTATCCTTGAAATCTATCTGCGTTCGATCAGCCGCCAAGCTTGGGCTTACAGGCCAAGCAGCTCCCGCAGAAAGCGTACAGCGTGCAATTCAGCCTGCAGTGCACAAGGTTTTGTTGTTGCATTTGATGTGGTCTGTCGAGATAGTTTGTGGTCTGTGATGCTTCTCAGATGACAAGAGGAGCGGAAACTGGATTTCCTCTTTAACTGGTTCACTAAAACTCTCAATCCCAAGGCTAGATCCTCGTGTTTGGATTAGGACCTGCGAGAGTTAACGCTAACCTCTGCACGGCACGCTGCTGACAAAACGCTCTAACAAAAATAAACGCCTCCGGGGTCTCAAAACAATATGGGAATTAGAGTTCACAAATAACTACTGTCCCAGTTTAGAATTCCAGATACAGCCTGATATGCAAATGAACCCAGTTCAATAATGATTCATTAATTTGCATATCACTAAACAATATCTAGCCGACAGACTCCCTGTGATCTGATTAATCTGAAATAAGACGGCAGATGGTTCAGTTTTAAACCTGACTTCACATTTTTATTGTGTGTAGCCTGTTAGTAAAGAATAAAAGGCGTTCTTTTACGGTCACTCTAGTTTGATTTTATTTTCTTAGAAAGAGCTGTGCGCTAAAGTGCAATTTGCTAAGAATTCAAAGTGAGGATAAAATTTCAAATTTACTTTGAATTCCTGACAATTCACCCTTTAGTGAATAATTATGTTAGGTTGCATACTTAGTTTAAAGTGACGGTCTAAGTATGAATGTCATATTATCGCTGCCTTTGTCCCTGTTGACTTGTAAATAAAACCAATGTGGTTTCATTTAGCAGAATCATTTCCTGGACTGGAAATGATTCTGGTTTTTGAATCATTTTGACGTCCAGTGTCAGCATGCAAAGATTTAAAGGACCACTATAGTGCCAGGAAAACATACTCGTTTTCCTGGCACTATAGTGCCCTGAGGGTGCCCCCACCCTCAGGGACCCCCTCCCGCCCGGCTCTGGAAAGGGGAAAGGGGTTAAAACTTACCTTTTTCCAGCGCTGGGCGGGGAGCTCTCCTCCTTCTCTCCTCCTCCGATCCTCCTCCTGGGCTGAATGCGCACGCGCGGCAAGAGCTGCGCGCGCATTCAGCCTGTCGCATAGGAAAGCATTTACAATGCTTTCCTATGGACGCTTGCGTGCTCTCACTGTGAAAATCACCGTGAGAAGCACGCAAGCGCCTCTAGTGGCTGTCAATGAGACAGCCACTAGAGGATTAGGGGGAAGGCTTAACCCATTCATAATTATAGCAGTTTCTCTGAAACTGCTATAATTATGAAAAAATGGGTTAACCCTAGAAGGACCTGGCACCCAGACCACTTCATTAAGCTGAAGTGGTCTGGGTGCCTAGAGTGGTCCTTTAACTGCGGATCACGATTGCCGTGCCTGCAACATGTTTTCTCAATGTTTCACTATTAGTAGCATCTTATTGGACAAAAGTAAAGGGTCTTGATGACATCACGGGAGGAGGATTGGGCTGCAGTGAGGAGTCTGTCGCTGCGCTGGAATAGATGTAAGTTTTATGGCTTTTTACATTTTTTTTAAATTAAAAAATGTAGGGCCCATCAATATAAAATAATTAAGAAAACTTTCACAATGTAAAATAATATGGCGTATTATTAGAGTGTTCCTTTAAAAACTGTCAGGATCAATAGGAAGAGTTCGACATTGCTCTCTGGGTTCAGACAATTATTTGAAGTGTAGTCCATAAATTTCAAAACCTTTCAAGGCAAAAAATAGCAATTCTGGGGCAAAGGGGTAAATGCTGTAAGATATACCACTGGTTTCCAAGGTGACTGCTACTTTTTTAGCACGTGGATCCAAACTACCACCTGTTTTTACTTTGATAAATATAGCCTTAAGTGTTTTTTGTTTTTAATGCATGAATAATTATTTAAAGTGAAACTATCGCCTTGTTACAACCTATAAATAAACTCAACATGTTCAGAAACGTGCCCTAACATGTCTTTGGGATGAAAATGCTGCTGTTGGACATAACTTTTCTCTTACTTCAGTAAACTCCAGAAAACTTTTTTTCCACTTCTGGCAACTTTCCCAGATTTTAACGAGCAGTCCCTGCTTTATATTCCATGTCGCACGAATCTGCTTTTCGTCCCAAGTTTTAATATTGGAATTGTGACCTCACACAGTGAATGTTAACAGGTTCACGAATCTCTCATTCCGTGATGGAGTCTGTCTCACACGCTGCGAGGGAGGGTCTCGAGTCACAGTTGACTGTTATTTTGTTTATTATGGTATTTCCTTCACTTCTGCTAAATAAAATAAGTCCTAATTCGAACAGAAAACAAACTATTTGTAAAGGAGTTTCTTACAGTGCTCCTGTCTTGCTGAAGGTCTACAATAGTCTCTTAGAGATACCTCCTATTAAAGATTTTGAAATACGTATTATAAATGACTATTAACTCAATAATATGCCTGTGAGAGACACTGGGTATTTGATAAAAGGGAAATATCAGATAAGTCCCACATAGGGCGAGAGAGACGGACGAGGGACGCAGGATTGGAGTGAGGAAGAAGCAAAAGGGGGGAGGCATGGGTAATTAACATGTATTTAGGGTTTATACGGAGAAAGACATTTGTAAGAACCATAAGGAAAGGTTCAAGAAATAGAGGTGACAGGCATCGGGGTCAGTGGGCATGGTAGGAGTTTCATGGTTTGAGGGTATGGGGATAGACACAGGGGTTGGGGATAGAAGAAGACACACAGAGGCTGGAAGTCATTAGGAGAGACAGGGGTCACGGGGCATTGGAAAACACAACTGGTCGGAGGCATGGGATGTACACAGGGTTAAAGAGCATGGAGGGTACACAGGGGTTGGGGGCATGGGAAGTACATGGGGTCAAGGGCATGAGGATACATAGGTGTCTGGGGCATGGGAAGTACACGGGGTTAGGGACATGAGAAATATGCAGTGGTAGGGGGGCATAGGAAGTACACGGGGTTATGGGTATGGGAAGTACATACGAGTAGGGGCATTGGAACTACACAGGGTTAGGTGCATGGGAGGTACCCAGAGGTAGGGGGGCATGTGAAGCGCACAGGGGTCGGGACATGGGAAGCACACAGGGATAAGGGGACATGGGAAGTATACATGGGTCAGGGCATGGGAAGTATACAGGGGTCAGGGCATGGGCAGTACACAGGAGTTGGGGGGCATGGGAAGAACACGGGGCATAGATCAAGGGTGAGACATGGTGATGAGGGGTATGGGCACATTGAATGGACAGGGAGAGGCACAAGATGGTGGATGCACTGGAGAAATATTGACTAGGGATAGCAGAGGAAGTGAAATGGCAATGTTTCCTTGTAGTTGCAATATAACTCGTGGTGAGATAATCTGCGTGGGCTTCGATGGGCAGAGAGAGGTCATCATTCTTCTCATACATCAAGGAGGTACAATGTTTTATTTAAATAAACAATTAGCGGAGAGAACTTAATAAAAAAAAACAATGCTGTGACATAGACCAGCCATGATTCTCCTGGATATGGGATGTAAAATTTCATCTACGTATCGTGTATCTACTTTACTAACAGATGGATTGACAAGATTTACATCCATCTTTTTATATCTCCCTATAATCCCAAATTTCAGAGGGAGAAATTTCCTGGTTTCCAACTTCTGTTGAGTTTAACACTGCACTGTGCATGTGTAGCCCTTAGTGGGGCCTGTCAGGTCTATCACCAACCCCTGTCCACCCCGTCCTGACTTCACACCTCATTATGTTGGGTGCTGTATGAATTGGCTGACACAGACAAAGTGCTGCGGTCTCAGCTTGTGGTTAGTTTGTCAGAGGAGTCACACAGAACGGTGTACATATAGGTGTGTAACCTTTACTGCTAAGTACAAAGATGAGAATTATTGAATAATTTAATAACTTCTCATCTATGCATTAGCGAGCAATTTAGTAGATTTCATACACTTAAAGTGACCATGTTTGCTGTAGTGGGTACATGTGATTCCCTGTGTGGCTTCCCACCATGCGCTAGTTTATATGGATGCCGTGCACTGCATTGTGGGAGCAGGTTGATTTGCATGCTGCCCTCACCGCAATGCTGGAGGCATGCCCCAGGTATTATATCAATGAATCTATATTTCACCTGATCGCGATCTTTAAAGACATAGAGGTTTCCTCAGTAAACTGTGAGATGTTAATATTTTATAAACAGGTTGCCTGATGTACACCTAAATGGCTATATTTACCTAAACTTGCATTAGTCAGCTTTCCATTATTCACTATTTAGGAAATAACCCCTTCATTAAAATTAAAAATGGGCTTCTCCCTTTCTTCACCATTAACGCCCTGTTTCGAGGTCCCACACATTCTAGGGAAGGTAGCGTTCAATGCTAATGCTGCACATTACAAAATCTCTGCGCACAGTTTGCCATAAAGAGATTTCTTGTTTCCCACTTAGAGATTGATTTTGAACTTTTAATTCATTTAGAAAACCCCGAATGCGTGCAGAGGGGGTGTTAACGCTTTGAATAGTAGGGAGTCTGTGCCACACATAGTGGAGCTATGTGGCATTCACGCCTTTGACCCTATAGAGTTAATGTTAAAAGCACCATGCAGTTTCTTTAAAAAGATTTGTCATTGCAGATCACTCCCCAAAATTGGCTCCCAAAAGTGTTCTTTAATCCCATGACAAAGACTCCAGTGAACTGACGCAGCATCCATTCTGCCCTCCCACCCCCTACCTGTGCGGCTATAGTTTCAGAGTCAGTCGGTTCCCAGACAAAGCGTCCAGCCCGCCCCAGAACATTTCATTATTTTTGGAAAGGGGACGTCCCTTTTTCCTATTACAGCCTTGTGGGAAATACAATAGCCCAGACATTGGGTGGCCCTCATATTTCCTCTGTGGCAATTAACTGTGTCACTGCTGAACGTGCTGATAGTTAAAGCCACAATATATATTTAGTTAACGTGCTGAGTTCCAGGAGTTAAGAAACCAGACTTTCTATATCAAAGAATACACTTTAAAATAGAAATAAAAAATTCATGAGCATATTAAAGCAAATGATATATCCAGAGCAGTGAAGCACAACTATTTGTTCCATTTATTAAATCTTAGCTTTGATAATCACATTTAAATGCTCAAACTTGAGAAGACTGTTTGAATTACACTGCATTTTGAAACCTGACTGGCATGATTTGTATATCTAATCGGAATTTGGCTAACAGATTTCAGTTTAATCATTAAACAGGACTTTTGGAGAATTGATAAGGCATTGAGCATTGACGTTAGGATTTAAATACAGTCCTTGATATCAGAGACCATTTAAACTTTGACCAAAAATGTTGCAGTTAGCGGTTTATTCATTAAACACAGGATTGTAGTGAAGTGAAAACTGAATTGAAAAACTGGATACAAAAATAACTGTTTTGGAAAAACTCCCCAACTGAGCAACAGACAGAACCTAACTAGTTCAGGCTAAATATTGCAATTTATTTTTCTGTCTGTCTTACAGCGTTATTTATGAAAATGTAAATTGTTGGGAATTTGGCAGAGAATAGAGGGACAGGCTATGTACCACAATCATTTCATTTTAAGGGGTTACTCCAAGCACCATGACCACTTCCGTGATTTGAAGTGGTTATAGTATCTGGTGTTTGTGTGTGCATGGTTTCACTATGAAACTCTGCTCATACGGAGATTAACCCCTCTGCTGGTAGGGGTGTAACTCCGCCTCCGGTAGCATCATCGGGCATCATTAACCAGCACAGAACAAGAGTCCAAAATGGCGTCAGAAGCCAGAGCGTACATCATGTTGGTGCCAGACCACCAATGATGATGACATGCTCCCCCTTCTGTGTCACCCATCCTGCCCTCAGCCTGCATTCCCTGATCTTGCGTTTTTTAAAGTTAGGTGGGCAGACCATTTAGGAAGATTTTCTAAAACCACAGTTTTTGGTTGGAGTAACCCTTTAATGAAATTATTTTGGGGTATGGATGGAACCCCCAAAGCCATTTTAGAGATTTTTCATACATACCAGCGACTATTGGACAGACAGACAGCCATTAGGGGCAGTTATGCAATCTATTTTCCATCCATGGGGTTCCAGAAGCCTTTGCTTTTCACACAGTTTATGAAATATCATTTATTCCCGTAAAACTGAATTTGTGAAAGCTATCACCTTTCACATGCTACAGTGGGTGCAGTGGGCAAAAAAACTATTTCACAGCTGGCCTTCTCTCCCATATTCTACTGGTAGTTTTCAGGAGTTTTCTTTTTAAATGTTATGGTTAAAAAAATTTATGCAAAATAGAAACAAATATATTTTTAACCATCTCTTCTTTTGAAATGATTTTTCAGGACTCCATCTACTTTTTGTTTTTAAACGATCTAACTGAACATTTCTTGTAACTTTATAAGGTACTCTATAAATCAGCAAGGTGTTTTATTTTGCAAACTAATTACCACAGGCTGAATACATTATTTTACCCCATGGATCTCTGTGATACATTCAGACACACTGTGGAGCTCTGTGATACATTCAGACACACTTTACATCACTGTGAGTTTTATTGCTGTGGAGCTCTGTGATACATTCATCCACACTGTAAATCACTGTGAGTTTTATAGCTGTGGAGCTCTGTGATACATTCATACACACTGCCCATTACTGTGAGTTTTATTGCTGTGGAGCTCTGTGATACATTCATACACACTGCACATTACTGCGAGTTTTATTGCTGTGGAGCTCTGTGATACATTCATACACACTGCACATTACGGTGAGTTTTATTGCTGTGGAGCTCTGTGATACATTCATACACACTGCACATTACTGTGAGTTTTATTGCTGTGGAGCTCTGTGATACATTCATACACACTGCACATTACTGCGAGTTTTATAGATGTGGAGCTCTGTGATACATTCATACACACTGCACATTACTGTGAGTTTTATTGCTGTGGAGCTCTGTGATACATTCATACACACTGCACATTACGGTGAGTTTTATTGCTGTGGAGCTCTGTGATACATTCATACACACTGCACATTACTGCGAGTTTTATAGATGTGGATCTCTGTGATACATTCATACACACTGCACATTACTGCGAGTTTTATTGCTGTGGAGCTCTGTGATTAATACACACTGCACATTACTGTGAGTTTTATTGCTGTGGAGCTCAGTGATACATTCATACACACTGCACATTACTGCGAGTTGTATTTCGGTGGAGCTCTGTGATACCCTCATACACACTGCACATTACTGTGAGTTTTATTGCTGTGGAGCTCAGTGATACATTCATACACACTGCACATTACTGCGAGTTGTATTTCGGTGGAGCTCTGTGATACATTAATACACACGAAACGTTCTGGCCTCCTAGGAAGGAACATTGAGTTTTAGATCCCAAAGAAATACACACTGAAAATATGTTGCTGCATTATCCTCCATTACATTAAGCATTAGGTTTTCCTACACAGAAAGTATTCCTACTTTAAATCCAAGTTAAAATATGATTATCCTGTTTTGTCAGTCAGCCTAACTGTTGTATTTCAACAGAAAGGTCAACCATATTTATTTCTTTTATAAATGTTGAAGTAACTGCTGCCATCTGAAATAGCCTTCCAGCGGGAGCAGTAAAGGCTAACGTGATGTAGAAAGGGTAGTAGATACATGGAATAACCTTCTAGTGAAAGCAGTAACAGTGATACAGAAAGGGTAGTAGATACCTGGAATAGCCTTCCAGTGGAAGCAGTAACAGTGATATAGAAAGGGTAGTAGATACCTGGAATAGCCTTCCAGTGGGAGCAGTAACAGTGATATAGAAAGGGTAGTAGATACCTGGAATAGCCTTCCAGTGGGAGCGGTAACAGTGATATAGAAAGGGTAGTAGATACCTGGAATAGCCTTCCAGTGGGAGCGGTAACAGCGATATAGAAATGGTAGTAGATACCTGGAATAGCCTTCCAGTGGGAGCAGTAACAGTGATATAGAAAGGGTAGTAGATACATGGAATAGCCTTCCAGTGGGATCAGTAACAGTGATATAGAAAGGGTAGTAGATACCTGGAATAGCCTTCTAGTGAAAGTAAAGGCTGACAGTGATATAGAAAGGATAGTAGAACATGGATAGGGGAGGAAACCCGTAGTGTGTCTCTGTCAATCTATGAGCAGAATTCTCCTGTCTTTCTAACTGATGAGTCGCTTCTAATGGTCCAAACAGTCAGAATTCCCAGACTGTCTCTATAGCAACTACAGGGGCTACAGACTAATACATAACACAGGTCCGCTCAGTATCCTGAGAATCCCAGTGGGAACTGCCCGGCCCCTCTGTGACTAAACTGCATGGCCCTCGCTCACCGACTTTCTACTAATTATAAATCTATAAATCTAATTTGGTCACTGACCTTCACTTACCTCCAGAGTAAGTCTGTGCTTGTCCCCCTACATGTCATTAAAATCCCTTAAAGTACTGTTCAATAGCATCTCTGCTGGAAGATGACTCCATGTCACTGACACTTTTTCTGCTGTGGCATAAGGGACAGAGATGAATGAATTGATAAATAAGCCGTTTTACACATATTTGGATTGATCTGCATTGTCTATGCTTTTAACGCACCCCTTCCTAAAAAAGGTGTGACGTTACCGAACAGTAACTGCCTCTACGTAACAAATATATTTTCAGAATATGAATTTCTTACACCCGTAGTTGGGATAGAATCTCTGTATTGAGTACTTGCAGAGAATATGCTACGTTGTTTATCAAACTGGTTCAATGATTACCTCTTACAACAGTGAAAGTATTAATCAGTCAATGGAATAGGTATCGTAGTATTTATGTCACCTAGCGTCTTCTGGTGCTGTCCCTGATTTAACATCAAATCATTGGTATAAATTGGCACTTTTACTGGGGAACCCCTTCTATCTGCAATGATCGCACAGAATTCACACTTCCATAATGTCAGTTTCATCAAAACTAGACGACATGATTGACAGCTCTGAGCTATCCTGTCCCTCCCCCTGCGCTCTCACCCAATCACTGCCATCCAGACCGGACAAAGATGTCATTGATTATGCATTGACAATAAGGTGAGGAGGTCCCAGAAAGCAGACAAATGTCCCCGTTTAAATCAAGATGTTTGTAAATGGTTTGATATTAATACAGGGCACTGTGCCAGGAGACCTTGGTAAATTATTGTAATGAAGTTACTTCTCACACAGTAACCTGCAATATCCAGCTTTTAAGGACACTCTAAGCACCATAACCACTTCAGCACACTCTAGTACCCTTTGCCCCCGCCCCCATGTTTGTAGTAAATCCATCTTAAAACAGTTTGACGTCTTACCTGGGGCGGCCTGGGCACCACTCGTACCTCTCTGCATACTCCAGGAGAGCCTGGACATCCCATACAACATCACTCGATGCCGGGTGTTTTCAGTGGTGCTGGTCTGCACTGCAGCCATCTTGGGCTCTTGTCTGTTTTGGAGCAATTTAGCCTTCAGTCTCCCCTTTTGATTGTGAAATGCCCCGACCCTTTACATTCTAGTCAGACGAATGACTCAACCAGTCCAGGATGTCACACTTTTTTGGCTCTTTGCTACTAAGTTACTTAAGCAACATTTTTGGAGTCACTTTCCAAATAGATCCGGGCAGAACAGAGGCACTGGTTTAAATCTGAGACTCTTTGAAAATCCATCCTGCTGTGATATAAATCTCTAAAATAAAGGGTGTTATTTCTAATATTGCTCATTGGATAAAGCACGTATTCTATATGGAGTAAGATCTGTTCCCGTTCAGTGACCCCTGATAAACCCAAAGTAACAGGAACGATGCAGCCAAGTATGTCGACGTCTAATCTTGTGGTACTTGCGTGAAATAAGAGAACATCTCATTTTTGGTATTCCTACAGGGAAACACAGTGAATTCTGTGGATATTACCCATTACAAACCCTCCCTTCCTTAGGAAATCCCTCATTCTGTGTCTGTCTATGTTTAAATCTGAGTTTAGCCTTAAATCACCACTGACTGTGCAATGCACATCTGGTAGAGGAAACCAGACCATTCCATAAAATAGTGAGGAAATATATTTTCAGCCTTTACATCATCTGCATGACAATTCATTTAAAAAATTGCGTTATAAAAGGGAATCTATAGTCTTGAAAATAACAATCATTATTTTGGGACTAAGGCTTCCCCACCCACCCTCCCCTCCCTTTATGTCTACCTTTTTTATGTTTATACATTTAAGTTTTGTGATGGACCACCTGGCAATCGTTTTTCCTAGTACTCACCATCAGCACCGTAGTCCCCACGTCCAGCGTCCCAGTTACTTGGCTGGGAACTTTCCATCCTCCACCCACCCTGGACCCAGGACCCAGATCTGTTCAGGGTTCGGGAATTTTCTGGAAATCGTTTATTTGACCGACCGCACGCATGGTCCCATGCCCAAAATAGTTCCAGAGAATCTGGGCTTGCGGTCAGTCTAGTTCAGTAGTTTAAAAACAAATAAACTACCAAACAGAGTCAATGTTCTTACCCTGGAGCTTGTTCCCCTCATCCAGACGAACGATCCCATTAGAAGTGCCCTTCTAACTTGTATAGAACCGAACGCAGACGATGATAGAAGTCCAGCGGTGTTCGGGAGTTCCTGTGTCCGATTTTAGTTTCATAAGATTCATGCTCAAACACCGCTGCCTGCGTTCATGCGAACAACATGGCCGCCAGCTCGTGGTAGTCCATAGGAATTGCGGCCACCCAGACAAACAATTAAAACACTGCGGTGAGAAACGTTCCAAGTTTTTAATAGGTGTTAACACGCTCCTGGGTGGTCCCTGGTTCTTGTGGTTGTTCGGTAGTCGAACGGGACAATGTTAAAATAGAAGGGGAATGCAAACAGATAGCCAAGAAGGCACGAACAAGGTCTTTTATGAGCCTTTGTGCATGGCCCAGAGTCCTGAGGCAGCAGGCTGGCAAACAGGCTCCTCCATGTAGAGAGGTTACTTTCACCACAAGTTTAAAATGTTTACTCACCACGTTTCCAGTGCCTGGACTCAAAGTCAACATCACTGAGGATATCTTACTCATTTGCTTCTTGTAGAGAAACTGTGGATTGGAAGTACACATGCTCAGCATTTGATTCCCATGCCAAGTTTTACTCGGTCTGGAGGAAGAAGCACCTGTAGTGGCTGTCAGGATAATGGCCACTAGATGTGTATTTAAAACAATACAAAATATAAATACAAGTTGCACCAAATAAAAAGTCCACTCAGATATCAAATGCTTGGAATATTCTTTGCTTGTAACCATCAACATCCAGACTTCAGGTAATTGGAGATATATGTAATAACCAAAGATGGTGCGCAGTATCTAGTGTTAGGTGCAGGACACACAAGAAGAAAATATATGGTATAGCACTCACTTTTGATAGAGCTTTAACCCCTTAAGGACACATGACATGTGTGACATATCATGATTCCCTTTTATTCCAGAAGCTTGGTCCTTAAGGGGTTAAAACCAGCTCTGAGTAAACCAGCATACAGCGGTATAATCCCCACTGATGTATATGTCGCTCCACAAGTCCATTTCTCAGTACATAGATGAATATGTAAAAAATATAAAGGTAAACAATAGTGCTCACTGTAAAATATACAGTTATCAGTTAAATAATAAGAATAATCTACTCACATTTAGCAGAGCAGTAGATGCCGCTCAGGTATTAGCACTTGGGTGGTACAACCCAGGGATATAATGTTGAGTAGATCCTCCAAGGAATAATCCTTCCATGGTGTTAGTGACAGGTAAGTACTTTGACAATTTTAGCGTGCCAGGAACAATAGTAAATTTAAAAAAATAAAAATAAAAAAACAAACTTAAAAGCATAAAAAAGTATAATAAATAGTGAGAAGCATAAAGTAAGTGAATGGCAAATATACTTTCATGTTTAAAACAAGTTATTAAAACAACACAACACATTTAGCCAACTGGCGGGCTTTTTTTAAGAGGTGGGTTTAACCCTGCAATATGAACATTGCATTTTCTACTAAACTACAATGTTTTACATTGCAGGCTTAAAATGCCAGGACCACTTTGAGATGAAGTGATCTGGATGACTATAGTGTTTCTTTAAAATATGGTTTTCTTTAAACCCATCTTCATCTGCTGTACATGTTTACATGGGTTGGTGTGATGGCCATTGAGTGGAAATTTTTGGTCCTATTTCAGCTCCATCTCCTGACTCTGATGTCCATAGCCGCTCGGATTTATAAGCACCCAAGTCTCCGGAACTCAGTCAGTCTGGTGGTGGTCAAAGTTCTTGTGGTCGAAGAGGAGGATGTTGGCCCTGACATCTCAGATAATGGCGGTCTTACACTACGAAACTTTTGTAATTGGCAGCAGAGTTTTAACCCACCAAATGATCGTCATTCTGAACACTACGACACTGCTATCCTGCTTACCCGACAGGTACATGAGGCACTGTCAATCCTCCCAGTGTTTGTCTTTCTTGTGCAGAAGTCATATAGAGCTATTCTTCGTAGCTCGGTATTACTATTAGACTTGTGCAAAGTTTGTGTAAGTAGATGTCTGAATATAATTTCCTGGTGACTGTCGAAAAAATTAATTCAAAATCGTTTTACCTGTACAGGTAAGAATGAGAATTGGTTCATTCTGGTATCAATTAGCAAGCATTTGATTTGGACGAATAAGTTTAAAATCTATGATGTAAACAAGCAAAATAAATAAATCTTGAAAAGTATTACAAGAGATGTTTACATGTGATACTCGAAAAATTAGAATATCGTGCAAAAGTTCATTTATTTCAGTAATGCAACATAAAAGGGGAAACTAATATATGAGATAGACGCATTACAGGCAAAGCAAGATAGTTCAAGCCGTGATTTGTCATAAGTGCGATGATTATGGCTGACAGCTCATGAAAACCCCAAATCCACAATCTCAGTAAATTAGAATATTACATGCAATCAATAAAACAAGGAGTGTACATAGAACAATATCAGACCTCTGAAAAGTCTAAGCATGCATTTGGACTCAGTACTTGGTTTGGGCCCCTTTTGCAGCAATTACTGCCTCAATGTGGCATGGCATGGAAGCTATTATTATTATTGCGATTTATATAGCGCCAACAGATTCCGTAGTGCTTTACAATATTATTAGAGGGGGGATTTGACTATAAAGGATAATTACAAAAAAACTTACAGAAACGAAGGGTTGAAGAGGGCCCTGCTCAAACGAGCTTACAGTCTATAGCTATCAGCCTGTGGCACTGCTGAGGTGTTATGGAAGACCAGGATGCTTGAATAGCGGCCTTCAGCTCTTCTGCATTGTTCGGTCTCATGTCTCTCATCTTTCCCTTGGCAATGCCCCATAGATTCTCTATGGGGTTCAGGTCAGGCGAGTTTGCTGGCCAATCAAGCACAGTAATCCCACGGTCATTGAACCAGGCTTTGGTGCTTTTGGCAGTGTGGGCAGGTGCCAAATCCTGCTGGAAAATGAAGTCAGCATCCCTATAAAGCTCATCTGCGGAAGGAAGCATGAAGTGCTCCAAAATCTCCTGGTAGACGGCTGCGTTGACCCTGGAATTAATGAAGCACAGTGGACCAACACCAGCAGATGACATGGCTCCCCAAATCAACACAGACTATGGAAACTTCACACTGGACTTCAAGCATCTTGCAGTGTGTGCCTCTCCAATCTTCCTCCAGACTCTGGGTCCTTGGTTTCCAAATGAGATGCAAAAGTTGCTCTCATCAGAAAAGAGGACTTTGGACCACGGAGCAACAGACCAAGTATGTTTTTCTTTAGCCCAGGTAAGACGCTTCTGACGTTGTTTGTTGTTCAAGAGCGTCTTGACAAGAAGAATATGACATCTGAAGCCCATGTTCAGGATCCGTATGTGTGGTGGTGGCTCTTGATGCACTGACTCCAGCCTCAGTCCACTCCTTGTGAAAGTCCCCAACACTTTTGAATGGCCTTTTCCTGACAATCCTCTCCAGGCTGCGGTCATCCCTGCTGCTTGTGCACCTTTTTCTTCCACACTTTTCCCTTCCACATAACTTTCTATTAATGTGCTTTGATACAGCACTTTGGCAACATCCAACTTCCTTTGCAATTACCTTTTGAGGCTTTCCCTCCTTATGGAGGATGTCAATGATGGTTTTCTGCACAACTGTCAGGTCAGCAGTCTTCCCCATGATTGTGATTCCTACTGAACCAGACTGAGAGAAACCCTTTGCAGGTGTTATGGCTTACTTGGCTGATTAGAGTGGGACACTGTGAGCCTAGAATATTGCACCTTTTCACAAAATTCTAATTTATTGAGATTGTGGATTTGGGGTTTTCATGAGCTGTAAGCCATAATCATCGCACTTATGACAAATCACGGCTTGAACTATCTTGCTTTGCATGTAGTGCGTCTATCTCATATATTAGTTTTCCCTTTTACGTTGCATTACTGAAATAAATTAAACTTTTGCACAATATTCTAATTTTTCGAGTATCACCTGTATACACTGACAACATAATAATTAACAAATAAATCTCAGCTAAAGACTACAATACCATTATAAAATATTTAGAAAGTCTAGCTTTGTGCATTGGGTAAATAAGAGAGAGAGGGAAAACAATAGAACATGACGGGCAATCTATGGTTTTCAGAAAACAATTAAAAAGTATCAGTCTTAATTATGGGAAGAGCGGGAGAGAAAGATAGTTCAGGGAACCGAGGGTGGCCAACGTTTCCGAGAGTTTGCTATTGTCCAGGGCTATCCGGGTTTTGTTGATTTAAATCTGAATTGCAAAATTGTGACTAAAACATCCAAGATGTAACTGGAACCAAGCTGTAGCGTTTCTCCAGAGCAGCTATTGTAGCCTTAGTAATGCTCATCAAATTTAGTTCTCTCCAATTTTAGCGAAGTTTAGAGAATTATTACTTTATTATTTTATTATTTATATAGCGCCATCAGATTCCGTAGCGCTGTACAATGGGTGGACTAACAGACATGTAATTGTAACCAGACAACCGGACGTACAGGAATATAGAGGTGGAGGGCCCTGCTCAATGCGCTTACATCTTTTTTTATTTCCTTTTGTGTTAGGATATCTGTGGGCACGAGAGCTGTGACACTCTGGGCGTAGCTGACATTGGGACGGTTTGCGACCCCAATAAAAGCTGCTCCGTGATTGAAGATGATGGACTCCAGGCTGCTTATACCCTCGCCCATGAGCTTGGTACGTTACAAGATACTCTCTTATATACCTGTGCCTCACAGACAAAAAAAAAAAACTGTGACAATATCATGGTATATAGTGCCAAGGAACTAAAAATAAAAAATGTCAAACAAATATTATTATACATTTTGATTATTATAAATGCATAAATTTAATCTGATTATATGTTGCAGAGACAGTTTAGAGACACTTTGTAAATAGTGATGTCCCGAACTGTTCGCTGAACGGTTCGCCACGGACTCCAGTCAGCAGACACATTCCAGCCAATCAGCAGCAGACCCTCCCTCCCAAACCCTCCCACCTCCTGGACAGCATCCATTTTGAAGCTGCATTCTTAGTGAGCTTTCCAGGAGGTGGGAGGGTCTGGGAGGGAGGGTCTGCTGCTGATTGGCTGGAATGTGTCTGCTGACTGGAGTCCGCGGCGAACCGTTCGTGGCGAACCGTGGCGAATCATGGCGAACCGTTAGTGAACCGTTCGGCGAACAGTTCGGGACATCACTATTTGTAAACACTACTACAGTTACTAACGTAGGTAAAACAATACATTGAAACAAACGTCCATTAATGATAAAACAACTTGCAAATCTCAATCAGGGACCGGTTTGGGCATGCTAGTAAATTTATTTAATAAAGTATAGATGAAAAGCTATTGTTAGGAAATCATAAATGACTGATCTGATTTTTATAAGATTTACCATGCTTCAGGGAATTTTCGGGGGAATTTTCTGTAAATTTATGGAGTTTGTACAGTCAGTGAAGTTACGGATTCATTACCGGGGGTGGGTAGGGGGGGTGGGTCTGATCTTTTTACTGTTTCACTAACATTACATTGTGTACTTTACGTCAGACACAATATGAAGTTAAAACCTCCCAGGACCACTACAGCGTCCTGGGAGTGCCCTAGTACCTCCCCCATTACAAGTGGTCTGCATTTAAACTCAGCAAAACTCCAACCACAGCACGCAGATTTCATTTCCGAGTCCATAGTCAGCTGCTGGCTACAAGTAAACCTAGATGATTTACCCATGAACCAACCAAAGATCTCAGTCCTAATTAAAGGCATTTGGAGTTGTACCACGTTAGGCAATCTGACTAAGCAAATAAAGTTTGACATTTGATGATTATCTCGATTATCCTAAAAAAAAAAAAACATTTTTGTCTAATTTAGCTCATGTCCTCAGCATTCCACATGACAACTCTAAGAATTGCGAGAAGTTTTTGGGAGGTCTGGGGAAAAACTATCTGATGGCTCCCAAGTTTCTTCAGTTCAACAAATCTATGCCGTGGTCTCCATGCACCGCCACGCACCTCACCGAATTCTTTGACAGTGGCCATGGTAAGAATTGTAGGGACTACTTTCACTTAGAGCTAGGCAACTTCACTCCATGTTTTAATAGAATAACAAGCATTGTGAAAGTGTATCCAGACTATTTCCTGTCCTAATGTGTTTTACACCCCACCTCCTATAGAATGTAAGCTCGATTGAGCAGGGTCCTCTTCAACCTATTGTTCCTGTAAGTTTATTTGTAATTGTCCTATTTATAGTTAAATCCCCTCTCATAATATTGTAAAGCGCTACGGAATCTGTTGGCGCTATATAAATGGCAATAATAATAATAATAATATCTGAGGAGACAATATCAGGTTGCATTCTGGGAATTATTCATAAAATCAGGAATTTGCGGAGAATTGAAAAGCGAATTGAAATCAGTCCACTTTGTTCAAACTCTATTTATAAGGAGACCCCCAATAGCTATATATGTTATCATTTCAGGAAAGGATCTGTCCATTAAGAACCCTAGTTATTAATAGACAATAATTGCTTCTGTGTCAATGTTGCTTCTCCAGACATGTTGCAACAAAATCACTGCAAGGAGAAAAATAAAATCGCTGCGGTGTTAAAAAACCAACAATGAAATATAAATGAATACATCCCACCTAACAAGAATGGGAATTATCAGTAGATTCACCCCTTCAGGGGCTATAGCGCAGCTCACTAAAAATCTCCCCCCGTACCCCCCCCCCCCACACACACACACACACACAGTTAGATATGACCTGCTCTCTGTGTAAATTGGTCATTTCACAATCATATTTCGACTCCTAATCACACCCTTTGCTAGTAACTGTTAGATGAAGCCTTGCCGTCTACTGGGAGACATCCTCCGATCAGGGCGAGTGCAGATGTTTTGACGCAAATGCTGTCTATGACAGCACAGGCGGTTGGTGATCTAAACGGTTTATTCCTGTGTTGTTCACCGCTCTGAGCTCAGACTGACGTAACGTCTGGATTTCTAGCAAACCAGAGGAACAGCAGAGACATGATTGCTGCACATTACACAAAAGACACGGACTACTGGTGGATGTCTCGTCAAATCTTCATCCAACTTAATGACAGGGTTATTTACTAGGGTGAGAATTGTGGAACAATTCTCAAAGTCTGATATGCTTAAAGGTCGGCTGCTCTGGCCTTAAAGGAACACTATAGTGTCAGGAATGCAAACATGATTTCTGCACATTTTATAAAATTGAAAATTCAAAGTGAATTTTTAATTTAAAACGACTCTATGGTCACCAGAACACTGAGCTGTAGTTGGTCAGGTGACTATAGTCACGTAGGTCTCTTTACAGTGAACACCACTGAATGTGGCTCCGTGGCATGTTATATCGGGATGAGCAATTTTAACACATTAATTAACCCATGAATGCTACCATACGCCAGAAACCAGAACCCGCTGAATTGAGCAGAGATTGCAAGTAAAACACAGATAATTGCAAATTATCAAAAAGCAGTTTGAAGAAAGGGTTACGTGTGAGTGTGTCAGCGAGTGCTTGTGTACGTGTATATATATGTATATATATACACATATACACATATGTGTGCCCAGCATTTTTTAATATGAAGGCATTTGCCAAGTCTTTGGTTATTAAGGGGTTAAATGCTATGGGTGGGTTATTATCTAACCCTTTTATTTTTTCCATGCGGGAGTAGTGCGTTAAATGAGTTTACAATTTACGTTCCAGGGGTGGCAATGCGTTGCACTGCAGAGTTACGAGCTACCCGCCCCGTTGGCATTAGGGTGATTAACTCAGAGTGCCAGCACAAGTTGCCTGCAGTGCTTTGCTAGACCTCATGGTGTTCAAAGCATTGACACATCCACATAACACCATTTTTCTTCTTTATCGCGGGGAATCAAACGGCCCTGGAGCCTTTTTAAATTAGAAGGAAAAACTGTTACGCAAGAAACTGGAGATTTTTTTTTTTTTTTAAACTGACTTTGATGTCTTGTTCAACTTTCTCAATAAAGAGTGCTCACATTATTAAAATGTATTTACTTGACCTGAGCGGCTGCACCTGAAAACCGGTTCTTTTAGAAGCTGCTGAATATCTGTTTCGTGGCTTTGCTGTGGGGTCTGCTGCTCATTACCATTCCACCATTTATTGTATTTAATGTTTGGCAACTTGTTATACATTATACCACGTTACTGGAAATGTTACCGATATTTAAACATTCAGCTGATTTTATTTTTTTGTACGTTACATACATTTGTGTCAATACATCATAGGATCATTTACATTTTTTTATGAGTTGTTACTGTACCTTTAACCCCTTAAGGACCAAACTTCTGGAATAAAAGGGAATCATGACATGTCACACATGTCATGTGTCCTTAAGGGGTTAAAACCAGTGATCCTTAACAAATGTTGCAAACTGGATGGTTCTACAGATAGTATAATGCATTTGGAGATTACCCTCTCCTATATAATATAAACTTCGTTGTTGGCCTTTATTCTAAAACTACACCTACCCCCTTGCCCTTGAAGTAAATCTTTCTTCCCCATTTTTCCTTCCTCCCTCATAACTGTTGTCTGTACTTATTTTCTGTCTATTTTTAATCTTCTTTCTGTTGAAAGAGTAACAAAACCATTTTTCCTTAATGTGGCCCCTGCTGAAGATGCATTATTTTTCACTAGGCGTGAACCTCTTATTGTTCAATCTGATGTTGCTTTCATATTTAATTTTTCTTTCTTAAAGCAGTAAAATGTATTTTTAAAAATAAATATATATAATTAACCCCTTAGTGACCAGACCATTTTTCTGTTTTTTTACAGTTAAGAACCAAGGCTGTTTTTACATTTCTGCGGTGTTTGTGTTTAGCTGCAATTTTCCTCTTACTCATTTACTGTACCCACACATATTATATATGTTTTTCTCGCCATTAAATGATCTTTCTAAAGATACCATTATTTTCATCATATCATATAACTTACTATAAAAAGAATTATAAAATCTGATGAAAAAGTTTTTAAAAAAAACACACTTTTTCTAACTTTGACCCTCAAAATCTGTTACGCATCTGCAACCGCCAAAAAACACCCACGCTAAATAGTTTCTAAATTTTGTCCTGAGTTTAGAAATACCCAATGTTAACATGTTCTTAGCTTTTTTTGGAAAGTTATAGGGCGATAAGTACAAGCAGGACATTTATCAATAGTGACATTGTAACACTGTTGTTTGTCATAAATCTCTGAATCACACCTCACATGTACATATTTTTTTAAAGTAGACAACCCAGGGTATACAATATCGGGTATGTCCAGTCTTTTTTAGTAGCCACTTGGTCATAAAAACTGGCCAAAGCTAGCATTAATATGGGTTTGTGTGTTAAAAATGCAAAAAACAATTATGAACATTAACTTTGGAGAGTGTTTGTGACTAAGTGGCTACTAAAAAGACTGAACATACCCCATTTGCAATACCTTGGGATGTCGTCTTTTGCAAATGGTATGCCATCATGGGGGTAATTCTCATTCCTGGGCTACCATACGCTCCCAAAGGCAACATAACCAATCTGGCAAATTTCAATGTGAAAAAAATGAAAACTCAAGCCTTATATTTGACCCTGTAACTTTCAAAAACACTTTAAAACCTGTACATGGGGGGTACTGTTATACTCAGGAGACTTTGCTGAACACAAATATTAGTGTTTCAAAACAGTAAAACATATCACAACAATGATATCATCAGTGAAAGTGACGTGTGAAAAATGCAAAAAACTTCACTTTTACTGACAATATCATCGCTGTGACATGTTTTACTGTTTTGAAAAACTAATATTTGTGTTCAGCGAAGTCTTAATTTGCTAGCAAACTTAAATTCTCTGGACTTTCGGCCTGGGTTGTCGGGCAGGTCCCTCAAATTGCAATTTAAAAAAAATTACTTAATTATGTAAAAATATTACATAAATATGCACGTAGAATTTAAATATATATGCATATTTATATATTGGAAGTCCACGTGTATGTTTATGAAGTTATGTAATTATGTATATGGATATATATATTTCTTATTATTTTTATTTCTATATACATAGATATATAATTTCATTCTAAGTGTATTTTGATATAAATATATATTAAAATCAAAATTTCAGTTAGAAAAAATTACATATATAATTTTTTTAATTTTATTATTTTTACATTTTTTATTTCTTGTTATTTACTTATTTATATTTTATAATATATACATACACAAAATATATAGTTATTATATATATATATATATATATACACGTGAAAAGTAATTAAGTGTATTTTTATATTAATATAAAAGCGATATGTTCTCCTATTTTAAAAACACTAATATTTTTGTTCAGCGAAGTCTCCCGAGAAAAACAGTACAGTACATGTACAGGTTATAGGGTGTCATGGAAAGTTACAGGGTTAATACAGTGCTAGCAAATTAAATCTTCTGGGCTTTCGGCCTGGGTTGTCAGGCAGGTCCCTCAAATTGCAATCAATAAAATTACTTAATTATGTAAAGAATTTACATAAATACGCACGTAGAATTTTAATATATATATTTATATATTTGAAGTCTATGTGTATATTTTTCAAATTATTTATGTAATTATGTATATGGATATATATTTTATATTATTTTCATTTATTTATATATACATAGATATATATAATTTCATTCTACGTGTATTTTGATGATATTAATATATAAATATATATTAATATCAAAATACAGTTAGAATAAAATTACATATATATATAATTTTTTAATTTTTTATTTTAAAGAAAAAACATTTATTTTTATGTACTTTATATTTTATAATAATATATAAATAAAGTTATTATATATAGTGTGTGTATATATATATATATATATATATGTATATATATATATATATATATATACATACGTGTGTAATTTACTTCTAAGTGTATTTTTATATTAATATATGTATATAGTAATCAAAAAATACACTTAGTATGACGTTATTTATATATATCTTGTATAATTATATTTTTATTTGCTAACATATATATTTTTTATTTTATTTTATACATGCAGGGAGACTGCCTGTCAGTTCAGGCAGTCCCCCTGCAGGCAGCACTATGGACGCCTATTACGATCACATGGCCCACGGGGGCCTAATTTGCAGAGGGGGGACTGTCTGGGCTGTCAGGCAGTCCCCCCAGACCGCGAGCAACACCAATTGCAGCTGTTTTTTGTCGGGCGTACTTAGTACGTCTGCGGTACTTAAGGAGTTAACTTGAGAAGGGTAATGATACATATCTGCATATATATCACTTATGGATATATATGCTCTGTGTGCATTTCCTTAACCTTTTCTAACTCATAAATCACATTTATAAAACAAATCCAATTTGTCATCTGCTGGCATTGTTCAAGATTCGCAGAATACAGGTGTGTGCTGATATCGGAGCCAACTTCTACTGTTTGACACACGTCTCCCAAGGCTACATGGCTTCAATCTCAAAAACTATTTCAATCAGCAACATAAAGCGCTGGATTCTGTTCAATGAAATAAATGTTTATTTTATTCTAGAATTACAAACATTTGCTAAAAAAAAAAGCACAGCCTGAAAACAAGTTAAATCATAAGTTGCATCATCAGATATATATATTGTAGTGCTTTGTGCTGGATGTTTAATGGGTTCGTCACATGTGTATCAGGTACTTGTGAGATATTCTCCTTAGGTAGAGGGATATTTACACTAATCTTAATATTTTACTTAAGTCTAAAGTTAAAATGTATTCTATCCTTCATATTATTATTACCATTTATATAATGCCAACATATAGTGTAGTATGTTACAATTATAGGAAGGGAATATATTTTGTGGCAAAAAATGCCCTGCTCAAACGAGCTTACGACCAAAGACGATTTAAGGTAGGTGGATATAAAATGTCAGGTGTCTTGCCCAGAGACACTTACCATTAAGGCGGTCTGACCAGGATTCAAACCTTGGATTCCCATTTCTAATTTGTTTTACCGCTGCTCTGATCTGCCGGTTTTGTCATATCATTATTTATCTTTATCATTCGGCATCTTCAAAAAAAAGTGTCATTAAACATTCTATATAGTAAATCACAGTAATGTTAAAAAACAAAATTATATGATTTTCCAGTAAAACTCAAATACTAATAATGGATTAATGTGCACTGTTTGTTGATATTCCTTAGTTAATTAAATTTCTCTATTTCTGTAGGCTTGTCTTTACTCATATTTGCCTAAAGTGATGGGAGTTTCTGTCCCAAAGAGAAAGCGAAGTGTTTTGTTTAGTTTCAGTAACTGCAGACGCTGGATAACTCTATATTGGACGTCATTTTAGCTGCTCAGAGTCTCACAGCGACTCTCCAGCGATCAGGAAAATACAATTCCCATAATTCCAACACATGGATGGCTATTGTTAGAGGCTCTGTAGTTATTCAATTAGACTGTTCTCCAATGAAAGTAGACATATTGCATTGACAAGTACAAGATCTCCCGTATTATACGCCCTTGTTATCTCTCATTAGGGGACTGTCTCTTGGATGCTCCCTCAATAACTCTAGAAGTTCCTGAGGAGCTGCCGGGTTTATCTTCCGTGTACGATTTAGACAGCCAGTGCCAGCAAGTTTTTGGGAAGGAGTTCTCACACTGTCCCAGCAACCGCCAGGAGGATCTCTGTGCCCAGCTATGGTGTAAAATCCAAGGGGAGCATGTGTGTCACACCAAGAATGGCACCCTGCACTGGGCTGACGGGACGACCTGCGGAGACCAGCGTATGTGCATGGATGGCGTTTGCCTGGGAGAGGAGGCTGTATCAGGGCCCAAGGTAATAATAGGATGGTGTAATTAGTACGTTAACATTTTAGCAATAAAGAAAGTCTGTCTGCGTTTCTTTTAGGCCAACTGTCCCTTTTATAATAACTGCCTTCTGAGGTTCTCCAGAAACTAATAAACTAATAAAACATGAACAATTTACAGTTTCAAAGTTCGAGGAAATCATGGGCAGCAGATTCATTTACATGAATTGTATTGCCTTTGCCTTCTCAGAAAGCAGTCTTGAGGTCAAAGCACAGGTCTAAAATCGGTGAATTACAGTTACGTGCTGAACTAATGAACACTCGTGTGAATTTGCCTTTAACCTTATATGCTTCAGATGGCTACAATGTGTTAGCAAGCTCTTCCGTGTAATTGATTTTTTTGTAGAACTATATATATATATATATATATATATAATAATATTATGTTTTTTTTTAATTTTATTTCTTTAATGACTGTTGTCCAGGTGGCAGTGGATGGAAACTGGGGCAGCTGGGGAGCTTGGGGTGAATGTTCGAGAACCTGCGGAGGAGGGGTACGGTTCTCCCATCGAGAGTGCAATGACCCTGAGCCGCAGAATGGTGGGAAATACTGCATAGGCCAGCGTGTGATTTACGAGTCCTGTAACACCCAGGATTGCCCCAATCAGGGTGAGTAGTGCCTGGAATCGACTCTTGTTAGCAAGTGTGTGTTACAAAATCTAGGGGGACTGCTTCTCATAATAAGCCCAACTGCACCACGGAGCATATACCCATTCAGTTCTCTACCAGCAAAGTGATCTATTATCACTATAAGTCTTGTCGTAGAATGCAATAAGCAACTCTTATAACACGTTTTATTTTTCTTAAACAGTGAAACATCCTAAAAGCTACCCCAGATTTTATGGGGGGATTCAACATTCCATACACCCTGAGAATCCGCCAGTTACAGTGAAACAGACCCAGATTGTATTTGATTTGCAGATTATTTAATCTCCTCTTTCCAGAACAGAGTTTTCGAGACCAGCAATGCGCAAATTATAACCATTACAACTACACGGACAGGGAAGGAAAGCTCCTGGAATGGCTTCCTAAATATTCAGGAGTATCCCCACGAGATCGCTGCAAGTTGGTGTGCCAAGCACGAGGGAGCAGTGAATTCAAAGTCTTCCAACTCAAGGTGAGGGACGGAGGCGATCAAACTTCGCGAACGCAAAGAGGTTTAGTAAACCGTACGTTTTTTAGACAAAAATAGCCACATTCTTCAAGCTGGTTTTCTACTTGAGCTATTTTGACCTAATATTTCAGTCCTTTTGTCAGTTTACCATAATTCCTGATTTCTTTACCAGAATCAAAAGATACCTTGTTTTACGTGTTGTAGCAATGCTTTGCATTAAGGCATTATTCCATCAAATAATTTATTTTTATAGTTAAACTTAGGAACACTCTGGGCACCATAACAACTTCATCGAATCAAACTTGATATGGTGCCAGGAGATGCCTAATCCCGATTTACCTTAAAAAGTTGAACTGTTAACAAATGATTTAACCCTAAAGTCTCCTGTCTGGCACCATTCAGCTATGCCCCCTTTCCCATCCATTTGAATTTTTAAGATTTATGCAGAGATTGTTTCGTCTTTACATATTTTGTGTATCCTGTACTTTTACATTGCTGCCAGTTTTTTTCAAAGTCTGCAGTGATGAACCATTCCAAAATCATCCTTCACTTTTTATTTTCTGTACCAAAAGCTTTTGTTTTGTTACAAAACACAATTTATAAAGGTTTTTAAAGCAATATTTGTATCTATGTGTGCCATATTGCAAGCACTGTGTACTCTGTGTATACTGCATAAATGCCCTCTTTCTGTGCCGTCCTGCAGGTGGTGGATGGCACGCTCTGTGGGCCGGAGAGTTTGTCTGTGTGCGTACAAGGTCAGTGCCTGAAGGCTGGATGCGACCATACTTTGGGGTCTTCTAAAAAACTAGACAAATGCGCTGTGTGCGGCGGCGACGGGTCCAGCTGCAGAAAAGTATCCGGTTCCCTTAATAAGTCAAAGTAAGGATCACTCCGCTGGTCATTGCATGCTTGGGGATATGTGGAGGTATATTTACTGACCTATAAACCCAGAGTTTTACTCCTTTGGGTAACTACATTGGACTTTGGTGCAGCAGTCTGCGGAATCCATCAGTTCTTAAATCCTCATATATTACAAAGAAACTGACAGGGTTATTTACTAAGGTGAGAATTTAAAGTGAGTTTCAGATTACAGACCAGTGGAGTTGTCATTAAAGCAGAGTTGACCTGGAGAATGTTTCCAGCTCGGCTATCTTGACATGATATTTGAAATTCACTTTGAATCCTCACGTTAGTGCATAACCCTGATAACCCTAAAAACAAATTGCTCCGACCGGACTTTTCAATGTAAAATCTCAGAATATTTTGCTAACTTGTCCTAACCTTTACTGCTTCCACTGGAAGGCGATTCCAGGTATCTACTACCCTTTCTATATCACTGTTACTGCTCCCACTGGAAGGCTATTCCAGGTATCTACTACTCTCTCTATATCACTGTTACTGCTTCCACTGGAAGGCTATTCCATGTATCTAATACCCTTTCTATATCACTGTTACTGCTCCCACTGGAAGGCTATTCCAGGTATCTACTACCCTTTCTATATCACTGTTACTGCTCCCACTGGAAGGCTACTCCAGGTATCTACTACCCTTTCTATATCGCTGTTACTGCTCCCACTGGAAGGCTATTCCAAGTATCTACTACCCTTTCTATATCACTGTTACTGCTTCCACTGGAAGGCTATTCCAGGTATCTACTACCCTTTCTATATCACTGTTACTGCTTCAACTGGAAGGCTATTCCAAGTTTCTACTATAATATGAATTACTTCTGTGTTTCCTTTAAATTAATTATGTCCTTTTGAAGAAATGGTCTCCGGAAGAAAAGAGATTGATAACGTGCTATAAGAGAGACAGGGTTTATGCTGGGCTCCCTTTTTAGAGAAATAAGTTTAGAATTAAATGCGTTAACTTAGGCTTGGTGGGAACAAGCAGCTCTCTGCATGACTTGACATGCTTTTTAGTGTTTTAATACATACAACCCCACAAGGAAGGGAGTAACTGGTGCTAAGGGGTCAGAACCCGATGGGTCAGAATTATGATGTCAAAATTCTAAAGCAATCACCTTGTAAAGCGTGTTGTCTATTTCTGGGCGAAAAGTAATTTCGAAGAGTAAGACGTAATTCAAAATGAAGTCAAGTGAGAAATCTGTTTATTAATGTTTGTTATTACCACGAAGAAAGGAACTGTGAGTAACACTGAATAGGAATAACCCTTTAACTCTGTCCCATAGTACGTTAGTACGTTAGTACGTTAGTACATTAGTACGTTGAAACCTGATATTAGCAGAGTGGAACTTATTGACCAGAAGAAGTGATTTATAAATGGTGTCGTAGATAAGATAAGGACATTATTATATCCTTGTATGGAGTAGGCCCAGCTATGCGACCAGAAGATTATTCATAAAATGAAAGGTGGAGTTTTAATGCTAAACTATTGGTTAATTAAGCTACCCAGGGCCATCTATAATATGATTAGGACCCTGGGCAATGCATTTTCTTGGGCCCCATGGGCCCTGTCCCTGCCACTGCCTCACTCCCCAATTACGTCCAACCCGCAATCACACTGACAGACGTACTGGCACATACACACACAGACAGACATTAAAACATTCACAGATACATACTGACACACAAAGTCACTACACACAAATATATACTGGCAGACATACTGACACACACACAGACATACATACATACACAGACACATACATTAACAGATATACTGACACACACACAAACACATACACTGACAGATATACTAAAACACATAGACACATACACTGACAGACACATTGACACACACACACAGGCATACTGACATATACACACAGGCATACTGACATATACACAGACAGACGTAATGGCTGATACAGACAGACATTAAACATTCACAGATATATACTGACACACACATACACTGACATACAAATATATCCTGGCAGACATACTGACACACACACACACACACAGACATACATACATACACACACAGACACATACACTGACAGACATACTGACTGACACACACATACACACACATACTTACATACACACACAGACATACTGACACACAAAGACATGCTGACACACACACACAGACATACTGACATACACACAGACAGACTGGCACATACACACAGACAGACATTAAAACATTCACAGATACATACTGACACACACATACACTGACACACAAATATATCCTGGCAGACATACACACAGACATACTGACACACACACTGACATACACACACAGACATACTGGCATACACACACACACACAGACATACTGGCATACACACAGACATACACACAGACCTACTGACATACATTTAGCCACCCTCCAGGTTCTTACCTTTTCCTGGAGGGTGGTTTCCCTGGTCCAGTGGCAGGCTGAGGCAGATGGGAGTTCTCCTCCTCCCTGCCTTCCTCCTCCCACGCGGCTATCTCCGGTGGGAGGAAGTGACGACCAGGCCCCTGCTGACACATGCTCCCCGGGTGGCCCTTAGTGCATGGGCCACCCGGGGAGCCTCCTCAGTGTGCGGGAGCCGCACCGCAGGGCCTGCGCAAATCGCGGGGCCCACATGAGCAACTGCGTTAAAGACGGCCCTGAAGCTACCTTTAATATCTCTCTGCATGTAAAATGTCATCCATTCACATTATCAACATATTTACAAAAACACTGGCCGGGATTATCAAAGATTACTTCTCATTACTACAACATTAAATCTGCCAAATCATATTGAGCGCTTAAAGGGACACTATAGTCACCAGAACAACGACAGCTTATTGAATTTGTTCTGGTGAGTAGAATCATTACCATCAGGCTTTTTGCTGTAAACACTGTCTTTTCAGAGAAAATGCAGTGTTTACATATAGCCTAGTGATAACTTCACTGCCCACTCCTTAGATGGCTGTTAGAGATCCTTCCTGGGTCATGGCTGCCTAAAATGCATCCAAACATTCAGTGTCTCCTCCCTCTGCATGCAGACACTGAACTTTCCTCATAGAGATTAATTGATTCAATGTATCTCTATGAGGAGATGCTGATTGGCCAGGGCTGTGTTTGAATCATGCTGGCTCTGCCCCTGATCTGCCTCTTTGTCAGTCTCAGCCAATCTTATGGGGAAGCATTGTGATTGGATCAGGCTACCACTTCTGCTGATGTCAGCAGACTGCTTGCTGGTCTGAGGCAGACAGGGCAGAGCCAGCAGCTTCAGGCTTGAATACAAGTAAGATTTTACTATTTTTAGGGAGGCATGAGGGGACCAGGGGGCTAGATGGTGGTGTTAACACTATAGGGTCAGGAATACATGTTTGTGTTCCTGACCCCATAGTGTTCTTTTAAGGAAGGAAAGCCTTTATAAAGACATAGCTATGCTTGCACTTCTCAATAGGAGGACTGTCAGTGAGTGACTATGGTAGTATTTATTCAATATCTCTACACCAGGGGTTGGCAACCTTCTACACTCCAGATGTTTTAGACTACATTTCCCATAATGCTCTTACAGCTATAACACAGGCAAAGCATCAAGGGAGATGTAGTTCACAACATCTGGGGTGTCTATCCCTGCTCTATACATTTCCAGGCAAATCTGTTGTGAATCAGGAATATTTTTGTTTTATTAATTCACATCAGTAATCAACACAGTAAAGGAGGAGACTATATATAAAAGAAGAAAAACTACCACAACAAGATGACATAGTCTTAAATTAGAGGGGCAAAGGTTTAAAAATAATATCAGGAAGTATTACTTTACTGAGAGGGTAGTGGATGCATTGAATAGCTTTCCAGCTGAAGTGGTAGAGATTAACACAGTAAAGGAGTTTAAGCATGCGTGGGATAGGCATACGGCTATCCTAACTATAAGATAAGGCCAGGGACTAATGAAAGTATTTAGAAAATTGGGCAGACTAGATGGGCCGAATGGTTCTTATCTGCCGTCACATTTTATGTTTCTATATTTCAGTTGATTTTCACTTTCATTAACCTTTTCTTTTTCTACGAATACTTTCTGTATTTGAAACTTTTCCACTCAGACATCAAAACCTAGTTTTAGAGTAACTAAGTCTCTGATTTAATATGTTTAGATAAGCTGGACAAGCTTTCAAAATTATGTTTTCAGCATATGAAATTATCAAAAAAACATAAATCTAAAATCTATCATATTTAAAAAAAAAATCTAAATATTAAAATATTTTTAAAAATACTAAATGATTTGAAAAGCTTACCTGAAAATATTAAATCGGACAAAATAAATTCATATGACCGCGCATATCACATCTTAAAATGGAACTGTCACTTCTTTGCAAGTAACAGTTTCTTGTTCCCTCACTTGAGTAAATGCTATTGAAGTGAAAAATGCATTATGTTGACCAATGTAGCCTCTGGTCTGCTACCTATGCTCAAAGGGACACTATAGTCACCAAAACAACTTTAGCTTAATTGAGTAGATTTAGTGTATTTCATGTCTCTGACGTTTCACTGCTTAATTCTCTGGCATTTAGGTGTTATATCACTTTTGTTTCTGTTTATTCAGCCCTGGTCACACCTCCCCTGGCTGTGACTGACACAGCCTGCAAGGTAAGAAGTGGTTTCATTTTCAATCAGATGTAACTCACTTTAAAAGTTTATATCTCCTGCTCTGTAAATTGAACTTTAAGTACATACAGGAGGTTCATGCAGGATCTAGATGGCTATTATCTGTGCAGGAGATAAGAAATTCTAAATTAAACAGAATTTGCAATAAAGGAAGTGTAAACATTAGATAACTCTTTACAGGAAGTGTTTAGGAAGGCTGTGTACGTTACGTGCAGGGAGGTGTGACAAGGGCTGTATAAACAAAGTGATTTTATTCCTAAATGGCAGAATTGAACAGTGAGACTCCAGCGGTATAAACTATACACCAAAACTGCTTTATTAAGCTAAAGTTATTTTGGTGACTATAGTGTCCCTTTAAGTATCTACTGAGAAAGTCAGAGTAATGCATGTGAGTGGTAATTCCATCAATAATGTCAAATGTACTGCAGTGTTTAATTTAATTTACATTATACCAGCTTGTGTAAAAACTTCACAAGCAACAGACTAGTTAGATTGTAACAGCTCTTATTATACTGAACATGAAAAATCCCTATCTGAAGCCTAATTAATATCCATATACAAACTATAAAACTCGGTGTAAGACATTATCTCTTCCTTTCTTTGAGCTGACTTTGAGAATATTTGTTTGAATTACCATTTAATGCCTTTTCTCCAGAGCTTCATATCATAGTTTACAATTTTCCATTAATTTAATTATTGCATTATTGCGTTCACTGTATGTTATGTTAATTAATATTATATTAAAATTCTGGAATCTTAAAGTATTCTCATGTTTCTCTCTATTCAGATACGGATATACCGACATTGTTACTATACCGGCTGGTGCCACAAATATTGATATAAAGCAACGCAGCCACCGTGGAGTCATATATGATGGTAACTATCTGGCAATCAAGCGAACAGATGCCAGTTATCTGCTAAATGGTGATTTTGCCGTGTCTTCAGTGGAACAAGACCTGCATCTAAAAGGAACTATTCTAAAATATAGTGGAACTTCAACCACTCTAGAAAGAATACAGAGTTTCCACCCCCTTCCAGAAGCTTTGACAATCCAACTTCTCAGAGTGGTTGAAGAGGTTGTCCCACCCAAAGTCAAGTATATGTTCTATGTTCCAAAGATGTTGACTTATCCAAAGACAAAGTCCAAGGACAAGATATCCCACCATTTGATAAAGCCTCTGTTGACTTCTCGGTGGGTTTTTGGAGACTGGTCTCAATGTTCTAAGACTTGTGGCTCCGGTTGGCAAAGGAGGACTGTAGAATGCCTAAATTTAGAAGGGGGGGCCTCGGAACAGTGCTCTCCAGAACTAAAACCGGAAGACATCCGACACTGTGGGGATTTGCCCTGCCCTATATGGAGATTCATGAGTTGGTCACCATGTTCTCAAAGCTGTGGGGAAGGAATTAGAACCCAGAGGGTGTTTTGTGTAGACTACACAGGCAAACAGATAGATGAGGCCAAATGTGACCCAGGAAAACGACCTGCAGAGGTTTCAACTCCATGTGTACTTGTGGAGTGCTGAACCAAGGTGAGGAGGAGGACATACCATATGGGCAGCTATTCATATTAGCCCAATACTGCTGATGGAGATCAAAATGAATTCCTTTTACACTGGAACCATGAGAGAACCGAAGAGCTACATTGAACAAAAAATGTTTCCTTCATCTCTTCCAAAAAAAAGAACGCTGTTTGTAATTTCCGTTTAGTTCACGTACAGAACAAACCTTTGCTGACATTTTCACTTTCTCACACTCAGCCTTAAAACATTGTTGCAAGAACAATGGACCTTTAAACCTTCCTGGGTCTAAGGAGACTTTTCTTACATCAGCAGCTATTGGAGCATCTGTGCACTAATTGACCAAAGCGGGTCCTAGCCCTGCTTTAAGGACTAACGGCAAAACATGGACACAATTTGTCTCCAGTTAGAAATCTACCTCACTAGGATTATCCCTAACCTTTTTGTATTACTGCAATGTTAATTGTTTGTTTCCACTTCTATTGCAGAAAGCTCTGTGATTTAATGCTTTGCTGTGCCACGCTATGTACTAACCAGTTCATTGTCAATATGTTCTCTTAAAGCCAACAAGTATTATGTCAGTATTTTCGATGAGTACCAGCTTATTGTACATGTGAAAGTTGTTATATAATTTCTTCTTACTTTTGCGTCCATCTGGTCTGATGTATATATCATAAACATTAAGGATCAGGAAAGCAAGTTATCCGTAGGACATTAGGTGACACGGACGCTATGTGATGTTGAAAGTCACTATCACTAAGTTTTCAGCAACTTTGACTTTGGTCTGTAAGAATGTAAGCTTCGTGGCTAACATGGAATTTAAGATTCAATATGATTGGCTGCATCAATTCAACCAGATAGTTTAGCTTTACGTTTCTCAACGTGAAGTACACACACCTTTCCACTTTAATGTATTAACCATCTCATTTCTACTCAAGAAAAGAATGTTATGCCTCTTGCCCCCTTTACATAATAAAATGGTCATCAGCTTTCAAATTCTGGCCATAATTGAAATTTGTTTACAAGCCAGTTGGGAGCAATAGTGAAGCAGTTTGTGTCTGGACACTGTTAATAATCTAAATGATCTTCATTTACTCACAGTCCACTGAATCCTAGTTTGTACATAATAATGATTGTCCAGAAAGGGTGTAAATATACCTGCCCCTCTTCCGCCATCATTAGCTGAATATAACCCACCAAGTTTGTCTGGGGAGCGATCTCTCCATCAGACCGGGAGAGCAGATTTGGGGGGTGCACTGGGGAGATAAAGGCAGCAATGAGTTCCGTTATTTCTTCACGAATGGCGGTCAGATTTAGCAATGAAATGGAAAGCTCGTCTCTGGCGAAAGATAGATTGCCACCAACAGAAAGCACACAAATCGCAGCAGTCACGTGAAATGAAGATGCCGGCTGTTAAAGTTTCAGCCAGTCCTCAGATTCTGGCTTTTGCAGTCTTTGAGCAACTCTGTGAAAAGCGAATGTACGCAGACATTTAGCTCCTTCCCTAAAACAAAAGGGGGTTAGCAAATACTGCATGGGTTGCGTCTCACTGCTTCTGGTTTGCCTTTCACTTTAAATTAATTTTAACAGAATTACAAAACCCAATAGAACTGAGATCCCAACAAGCAATTTCTGACATTAATCTTTCATTTTCTGACAAAGTAAGAATGCTTTGGACAAGCGATAAGATCTCCCCACTGCCTGCTAGGTTTTATTGGCAGATAATTGATCTTTTTCTTCCAAGAGGAATCTTTGTTCTAGGAAGCATTTTCTGCTGTTGTTGGATTGAAACTCCCATCTGCTTAAGCCATCCCATAAGATGGGTGTAAGCTGCACAGCCTTTCCTACTGAGGCTGAAATTTTAGTTAAATAGTTAATGCAAGATAAGATTTCCTCTGGCTGATGAAAGATCGGGTGGATGCAGCTTTTAAAAACAGCTGGAAAACATCTGGGCTCCTATGTAAATTCCCAGATACTCTCCCAAGTGTGGGAATAGTTTTACTCGGCTGCAGGCTTGTCTCACAATCCTGGTTTAGGAAAGACAGCCAGGTGTATCCAGGTGGCCATCTGGAAACATTAACCATGACACCACTGAAAGAAATCTGCCCGTGGCCAACGAAGCAACCCACTTTTTTTCTATTTTTAATTTTGAAATTTGTTTAAGATATTAAAATAGTATATTTTTGTAGTGCTATTACAATTACAACAATGTATATGGCGCCAACACATTCTGCTGTGCTGTACAATAGGTAAACAAGACAAAACATGTTTGACATATGAGAACAGTAGGTTCTCATATGTCAAAAATGGCCCCTCCCAAATGAGCTTACAATCTTAAAGTTCTGTAAATGTAAATCTATACATTAAATGCATAGATCAAACTACGTAACACTACCACCACTTAGGATATGTTGTCAATGGCTCGATGTGCTTAAATATTCGAAGGAATTGCTTATACATAGTGACCACCAAATTTATTCCATTTGCCCTATGTAATGGCCTGCTGAGGGTTAATATATTTATTGGGCTAATCAGTCCTAACATGAAGGGCCTTTATTAACCATTTCAGTACCAAATGAGGTTAGACAGATCTGCGCACTTCTTTTGCATGCAAATAGTTACATTTAAATGAGTCTTATTTACTTTGGTGGTGAGAAATGTATGTAGACCCTCATTAACATCACGGAATGTTTTAGGACATTTGTTAAAAAACAACATATTTAGAATGTAATCTCAGTTGTCCTGACCCACCTGAATTTTATCTCAACCTTATTGAACCTCCCATGTTGTGTATCGTTTAACGACGTAGAATTGTCTTAACTGTCGCTATGTGATTATAACCCCATATGGCCTCTTTATCTTATTTTCAAAGGCTTTATGTAAAGTTTTTAAAATTTATATAGTTTTTATTTTTTTTATTTGTATTTAGAGATAACTTAAAAAGTTTTAACCATTTGCTTAAAATGTATTTTTAGCCTGCTCACTTCCTGGTATGGCCGCTAGGGGAGCTAGTGTGTGTTTGTGACAACGCGATTTCCTAAATCAAGCTTTTTAACAAAATATAATGTGTAAAGTGCCAATAAACTTTCTAATTTTGTATAAAAAAAAATGTGTCATTATGCCTGATTGTCGTCTTTGTTGCTTTTATATGTGTCTGAGGCTCTCAGTATGCATAAAAATCACACTGTCTCATAAATAATTAGATTTTAGATTTGGAGATTCAATTCATTATGAATTGCAATTTGTTCGAATTTGGGGCGATTGGGTGATTTTTCGAATGCCTGAACTCTGACTAAAAATGAAGCAGAATCACAAACCATACGCGCATGTTTGTTTTAGTCCACGATTTGGAATTACGCATGTAGCTACTAAAAAAATGTGATTGATTGAAAAAAGATGATAGGGGACAGTCAATAAATATATTTTTTTGTAAAAGGATACACTTCGAGAAATAGTAATAATTATTGGTTTTGTCCCATATCTTCAAAAGCAGGAAACGTAAAATACACCATATAGTGCAAATCAATTTGTAACCACGTGTAGATAAACTACATTGGAATAACTAATTGGAATAAAGTTTTTAGATTTTTACCCCCCTGAGTACTTGCTTTTATCAAGTTCGGAATGGGTGATTGGGGTTGCTATAGAAAATGCATCTCTGAGGTGGCTTGGTTGAAAGGGGTTCCAAGCCGGATGACGTTTCTACAATCTTACCAGGGAACCTCTTTCGCTACATGCGGTCTGGGCTCTATTTCCTGTAGCGGCTAGCACGATCAGACCGCGCTTTTATTTCTGTTCTTTGTTGCTATGATTTGTTGCAAATAGTGACTTTTCTTAGCCTTTTAAAGACACACGCGTTAGTAGGTTTTTGTTTATGTTTGAATGTAACAGTCAGTATCATGTTGGATCAAATAAATGTAGCTTTTCCAAACGGTTACTAAATGATTTGCACTGTGAGGTGTAGTATTTTTGTTTTTCCATGTCTACACAAACTATTAGTATTACTATTTCTTTGATCGCACCATTATTCTTTTTTTTGTTTATAGAATTGTTTGATCGCTTCGAGAAGTTGCAGTTTTTAGGAAGTTTTTAGCTATTCTTGTTTTATTTATTTCACGTGTGACTTTTTACATCCGTTAGCACATTATCGCTGGGAAACCGGTGAATCTATGCGCAGAGAATCTCTGAAATCCCTAGAATCCCCACGCTAGAGAGCTGGTCGTAAGTCTGAGCAGTCATAAACCAGATAGGTCGCAAAGTGAGGAGCACCTGTATTACATGTTTAATAAATATATAATATAGAAATTGTTTACTATTTCTCCTCTGTTTGCCTCGATTGGATACTTTGTCTCACTTAATCCATGAACCTCACAGATATTATGTATATATTTTGCAGTGCACTGATTGGTCAATTTTCGCGCCCTTTGGATTTGTCTTTGATTTGTTTTGCTGAATTTTTATTTTGTTAACAAAATGTGGGGAAACAGAACCGCCACATGGACAATATATTTGTAACTTTTTTTTTAGATGAACTGGTTCAGCAGACACTAGTTGTTTTGCTGTGCACAAATCTGTTATTTAAATACAGCCGATACTTCCTGCAGTACAGTACAATGTGCAGACAAACATACACAGAATTGCAGCATGGAAAGGTAAACACCAAAAGTCCAAAATGAGTAAGGTGAAACCACTGAAAAAGGCATGCTATACAAACTGAAAATGGATTGTAAGGCGCGTTTACAGTATTATATTTCACAACTTTAAGGGCGTCGTTCCACTGAAAATGATAAAACCTCAGATAATGCGCTAATTTCCCAGAGTTCCTGGCGCTGTTTGATTATTTCAGTGGCAGGTTCCACTATGTATAAATCCGCCTCAATGTTGGTGTTTTGTGTGCAACAGACAATTCTGCAAACGGCAAAATATTGAGATTTTATGATTCAAGTGAAAATGAAAGATCGTTCTCTACAGAGACACAAACCATGTTAACGGGCAACAAGACTCAGCTATATTTACTAGTCTGTCCTTAAAGGAACACTCCAAGCACCATAACCACCGTAGTGTTATGTAGTGGTTATGGTGCTTGGATTACTCTGGCATCCTCCTAGTGTAAGTAGTCAAACCACTTGCTAACAGTTTGACAACTTACATGGCTCACTCCCTATGTGTGAGTTGGAAGCTCTCTGCTTTCATATAAACTTGGCAGTGCAGGGCTGAGCTCATTGGCTGAGAGCAATTAGCTGACACTCTCAGTCAACGAGCTTGCTCTGAATGGCAGTATGAGTGTTCTTTTAACCACTTAAGGACGAAACTTCTGGAATAAAATGGAATCATGACATGTCACACATGTCGTGTCCTTAAGGGGTTAAAGAAACATCTTATATATGATACTCTAATTTCTCCTTCATATCCCAGTCATTCCTCAACTCATTTACTTTATCTTTACTGCTTCCACCGGAAGGCTATTCCAGGTATCTACTACCCTTTCTATATCACTGTTACTGCTTCCACCGGAAGGCTATTCCAGGTATCTACTACCCTTTCTATATCAATCTTAGCCGTTACGGGAAGGCTATTCCAGGTATCTACTAGTGATCCTATAGAAACGCTGTATAACAGGCGCTAGGTACGGTATTTAAGATTGAAGTTACTGCAGGGACTCTATTTTCTGTGTTACAATGTACATTGCTCAGAGAATGCTTCGTACTGCAAATGCTAAATAAAATATGGAATTAAACATGCTTTGAGTTGTTTTTTCACAAATTCGAAAACAACATGTGTGACTTGTTAATGTTGCAATATTCTCCTGTATGAGAGAACATTGTGTATATTTGTTATGGTCTTACATGTGAGATACATACATACCACAATTATGTTTATGAGGACTTCACGTTGATATATGTTTTTTGGGTAAAGCATGTAGATCCAGATTGAAGCAATCTGACTGAGGATTTATCACTTTTACAACACTCTTGACTTTTTAATGAAAAGATTTAATGAACTATTCTCCTGGATGGCAAAAATGAACTGAACCTGGAACAGTTCGCATAGCGTGTTCCATCATCCATTTCAGGTGGAAAGGCAGAAATTGTATCCCTTGAAGTGCTGGGCAGATACTCCAAACACCATAACCACTACAATGCACTATAGTTATTATGGTGCCAGAAAGTCCCTGGCACAACCTCCTGTTATGAGTAAAACCATGTTAGAGCAATTTGACTACTTACTTGGGTTCTCCCATTCACCGCTGCCTTCCTCCACTCAGGGGCGTACCTAGAGCATATGGTACCAGTGCATATCCTGTGTTTGGCACCCCTAACCCCCTACTTTAATATGTAAAAAAAACACCTGTAATATTATGTTTAATGTTTTCATTTTTAATAATTGCACAAATGTGTAAATTTTGAAAAAATCCTGTCCTGCCTCCTTCTACAAAACCCATCTCCTGCCTGCCGTTCTACAAAAAGCATGTCCTGCCCCCGTTCTACAAAACCCCTACACCCCCTTCCACAAATCCCCTGCTCAGCCCCTCTTAAACAAAATCCCTGTCCCCTTCTACAAACTCCTGCACCCCCCTTCCATAAAACTCCTGCATCCCCCCTTCCCCCAAAAACTGCATCAACCTCTAAAGCCCCTGCTCAGCCCCTTACAATATAATTCATTTTTTACACAACAATATTAGCAACAGTCTTCAGAGTCCAGTCCCAGGCACATAGTCGCTCACAAACAGTCACAGACACAGTTACAGGCAGACAGTCACACACAGTTACAGGCAGGCAGTCACACAAACAGTTACAGAAAGTCACACATACTATTATAGGCAGATAGTCACACACACACAGTTACAGGCAGCATCCCCCATTCACCTGCAGACAGTCACACAAACATAGTCACATGCAGACAGTCACACACACACACACTCACAAGCACACTGTCACACATACACAGGCAGACAGTCACTCTCACACACACACACACAGTCACTGACAGACAGTCACAAGCAAACAGTCTCACATACACACAGTTACAGACAACCACACATACACACAGTCACAGGAAGTCAGTCACACACACACACACACAGTCACAGGCAGGCAGCCTCACACACACATACACACACACACGCAGAGTCACAGGCAGACAGTCCACACACTCTCTCTGTTACGTACAGACAGTATGGGCTGGAGGAGGAGTGGACCCATTGAAGTCCCTGGAGTCTGTAAGTTGGGGGAGCAGGGACTCCATCCTGCTTCCCTCGATGTGCAGCAGTAACAGCAGCGGGTGGAGGCTGTGTTTAGCTCTGCCCCGCAGACTGTTTGGCTCCGCCCCAACAGCTGGTTTGGCTCTGCCCTGCTGCTGATTAGCTCCTCCCCTGTTTTTTCCTAGATGCCGCTTTGCCAGGGCTTTGAAGTTCTGCAACTGCCTGTCCCAGCGTGTGTGAGCTGTGCGGCTGCCATGGCAACCTGTCCCTGCCCACAGCTCGCACATCCTAAGGCCGCCCTGGTCATGGCACCCCCTAGTGAGAGGCACACAGGGCGGACCGCCCCCCCCTTTACTACGCCACTGCCTCCACTACTTCCTAAGGAGAGCCGGAAGCTTACTACGCCTAGCCCGGTTAGATAGAGCCTGAATAGAGGCAAATAACCCAACGTTTGCTAATTTCCACAGAGGAGCATTCTGGGATCCCGGCTGGAAAAGGGTATAACTGCATGATATCATTACACCAAGTTTCTGCATTTACTGCACATTGCCATGATATACAAGGCGTATGTATTTATTGCATTAATAGCAATCCCTTGCTGGGAAATTCTTCAGAACTCCAGTTACTAAATGCTTGCCTGGTTAGGGAGATCCCCTTATTGATTAGCAATATCCAGGTGTCCAATGGGGCCGCCAATTGCTCCCAGGGCTGCTCTCTAACTACTATTCCCATCTAAATGCCCAACTGCCCCAGTGCATAGCACCAGTGGCATACCTACCACGGTCGCAGGAGTCACAGCTGCGACCGGGCCCACCACTGTAGGGGGCCCGGCCGTGTTCCCCCTGTGAGTGTGTGTCTGAGTGTATGTGTGTCTGTAAGTGTGAGTGTGTCTGTAAGTGTATGTGTGTCTGAGTGTGTCTGTGAGTGTTTGTGTGTCTGAGTGTGTGTGTCTGTGAGTGCGTATGTGTCTGAGTGTGTGTGTATGTGTGTCTGTGAGTGCAGGTGTCTGTGAGTGTACGTGTGTATATGTCTGAATGTGTGAATATGAGTGTATG